AAAATTTCTTGAAATTTTCCATTATTCGTTAAGATCATTAGTTCTAATTAGAATAATCAATAATTAATTTTAATTTTTCTACGAATCGCCTATTAGTAAAATGAAATATGTAAATATGATGATAAAAAATAACGCCAAATGGAGGTAAATTTCGCCAAATTTCAACAAACTTCTACAAGAGAATATTTCAAAATTGAATTTTCGCTACAAAACATGAGTTTAAAACGAGAATTGATATGAAGTAATAATCGCTACTAATATATTTATGTAATAGAATGGAGTTGGTCCACTTCAACTTTTCATTCAACACTGGGTTAGGCCACAGTCATCATTTGGATTGCCAGATATCAAATTTGTTATAGGCTAATAGACAGAATAGACAGACCAACTGCAATTCGATAAATAAAAGTGGTTAGTGCTCACCATTTCCGATTAGTATGTTCCTGTAACACTGGCTGTTCGCACGATGAGAAATATTTATCAGCGAGTCATAAGTGGATAGAAGTACAGGTGCACCCAGCACCACTGTGATTTTTTAACGGTACGTTTATTCCTGTCAGAATTAGGAACTTAACGTGCAAGACGATAATCTAACCGCCAATCACTTGACTATCTTTCATACCAGTGTGCAATAATACGTTGCAATCCAGGCAAAAATTAATCTACAATTATAATTAAAATTTAAATTAAAGAATTGAAAATTTAGAATATTTCGAAAACCTTACTTTTCAAACGAACGACATCCCAAAAATTATACCCATTCACCTTATTTTTCATCTGCTTTAATCTATCAAATCTGCTATAAAAATAAATATACTAGAACATTTATATATCAGTTCCGTTCATATAAAAACGTGCGAGTAATCATGAGAAAGTGTAGAAATATTTGCAAAAAGCATTTTTTATGTCAAACGCAAATACTTTCGGCCCGCAAATACAAAAATCTTCAAAAACGTCGACCATTCACTTTTATTCTAAAATATTTTATATCATTTTATGTTGCTTAAACAAGCTCGCTTACTTGTTTATTCTAGTAATATACGAACTTATGCAAACTTTAAAGTTTTAAGAAAAACAAAAATTATGAAAAAAATGTGAATCAATACGACTGCCTGAATGCAAAAGTAAAAAAAATTAGAAAAAGTTGGAATTTTATTAAAATTTGAATCATAAAAGAAATAAAAGATAGAACATGGACATCGCTTCTGGTTTTAGCTGGCTGCACTGATTATTAGAATGGAATTTCTCGCCAGGAAATCACATTTGAGGATAGGGAATAAGAAATACGTATGTATCACCTGAAATGCACATTTAATAAACAACTTTATTTCTTTCTTTTCAAGACAGAAAAATCGAAACTCCTACTGCGTAAGCTCAATCGTTTCTTCTTTATTTTTTCGAAATTTCTGATAACTATTGATTTAATTTTTTAATAAAACTTAAAATTTTAGAAATGCTAATTTCAAAGATTTCTAAACTATGAAAAACAATCGTTATCAACCAACATCAGCAATTATCAGCTAAGAAAGATCTGATATGGATTGATATGTTTAGTAAATTATAAGCTTTTTTTTTAAGTTTTTGAAAAATCGCCAAATATTTTCCTTAACCATTACACTCTTTGCTATATTTGCAATATGAAACAATGGTATCATCGTTTTCGTTTCAATAACAAAAATTTAGCGAACTCTCAAGTTATACTGAGTTACATTACATTACATTAAGTTACAATAACAGGTTACATCCTCTTAGCTATAAATTAAATATCATAAATATCATTATCAGTGACATGTCATCACTCGTGGTTAGCCTCGCTCCACTTTTAGAGATAGAAATGCAGGTGGAATTCCAGTACTAGAATTTTGCAATAAACAGATCTGCTCTTATCAGAAGCGGGATCCAAACCATGAAAAGCAACAAGTCACTCAATAAAAGGCAATAACTTTGAAGAAAACTCTCTATAAAAATATGGAAATCTCAGAACAATCCGGAAAATAGGATTCCAAATTATTTTTCTTGTAAACTATATAAGTTCTCAATATTTAATAACCAAAATAGATGATTTTAAAAATAATTTAAAAGTAATTTTAAACAATAATGAATATCTTTTTAAAGGCACGCCTGCTTTAAATTTCTTTTCTCTGCTTTCCTTTCTACCATTTCTACTATCGCTGGCGTTATTGGCTGCCGCAAAATTACCACTATTTCTGAAAGTCAGTTGGGAAAAGAAGTACAAAAGGGTTTCAACTGGATTTCAATTTTGATGGCACGTTTATTTCCGTTAAAGATACAACAAGATAATCGAACAAATAAATGATCAATAAACACCTTAACCATCTTGCCCTTATTGCATATTTAATAGAAAAATGTTTTAGTGATAATAGTGATAATGACAATGGTGCACTATGGATTTTCACACCAAAATATCAAAAAACATGCGCAGTTATCACCTCCTCTATTATCACTGTAAAATGAAAAAAAGACTAAAACAATGGAAGTGATCAAAAAGATTAAAAAATAAAAAGCCCTAAACTTTGAAAGAAATTTTCCATAAAAATATGCTCTCTGATCATTTTTTCAGGAAAATAAGATTCCGCATTATTTTTTCTTGTAAATTACATAAATTCCAAAAATCTTTCAGCTCTAAGCAAAATAAAAAATTTATTAAAATTATTGAACTGATTTATGCAAATCAATATGATATAAAATTTTTTTCAATTAAGATTTGAAACTATTAATAAATAATGGTCATATTTCGCTAAATGCTAAACCTTATAATGGATTCTAACAAAAAACGGGGACGCTCAATCAAGACTGAGATTGTCAAGAGAGATTTGGATGTATAGGCGACCTGGTGAGCTAGAAAAGGAAGTGGTTTCTGTTAAAGTACTGCGTCGAGAAATCTGGGAACTATTTTAGTCAGCGGAATCAACGGAATCAGCCAGCAATCAGCCAATTACGATTCGCATTCCATGGATATTGTCAAGCAAAAAACTATCAAATCTTTCTAAAATATTTTGCAAACATCCAAGAATTGTTTAAAAAATCTTTAAATGTGGCGTTGCATTTTATACTAGCACTGAATTACAGTTATAAAGATGAATCTTATAATTTTAAAAATAATATCACAGCTGATCAAATATACAAATAGTAATTGTAGAGACAAGTGAAGATAGATGGATAAATTTGTGTCAATATTGCCAATTGACATTTTGGCGCCGAAAATAATTAATCTTTCGCGGAATATTTATCTTTTTTTAAATAGGTTCTCTTTATAGTTATAATTTTAGAAGCATATAAGTAGAACCACACCGCCTGCCATCTTAATTTTCTCACAAATATTACTATAAAGTAGTGAAAGTGAATAGCTGAATGGTTTGCTGAGATCATCATCTCGAGCAACTCTATCATTTAAAAACCGCAGTGATGCTGGATCCCCACTTGCCGATAGAAACGTGAATGCAATTTCACATTTTCCTAGCGTTTTCTACAAAAGCAGTTTTTTAAACACTTTTTTCAAAATTTGTTTCCTAACAATGTGTATGATGATTAATAAATAATTATGCATATTTGTGTCTGGTCTCGACAGTTCGCCTCTCGACTTATTTCTCTTGATTTCTCACAGTTTTGGAGTTTTTAGAATGCCAAGGTGAAATTAGCATTTGATTTCTACCTTAAGCATTAATGCGGTTACGAAAAAAACATGAAAGAGCAGCCGTCTAAGCGAGACAAGTGAATTGCTTCTGCTCATCATCGGTTGAATTCAAAAAAATATTATATAAATGCTAAAACAATTTAGGGAATGGCAGTGCCTTCTATGCCTTTATCAAACGTTATTTTTAAATCTAAAATCATCGTTATTCTGCGTTATTTTCCTAAAAATTTTTTCATTTCATCCAATGAAGCATTAATTTCGCATAACAAATTTAATTTATAATAAAGTACTTCCAGTTGTCCACGTATAATATACTTTTTAATTATTCCATGGTTTAAAAAAGCAACTAAAATGGATATATACCAATAAACTATTTATTTCAATCTGAACTATAGAAGTACCAAATTAAGCGATCCGTGTTGCTGTTATATTATTCCAAATAATCAGGAATAATTACTTAACAAAGATATAGAAGAATTTTTTAAAAAAATGAAAAAATTATCGAAAAAACTAAAGTTAGCATAACTAAAGTTAAAATTAAAATAAGCGAATGGCAGATAGGCATAAGTTACTCAGTACGGCCTCAGTATTTATTGATTTAATTCCTGTAAAACTATGGCCAGAAGAGAAAAAGAATCTCAAAAAATAAACCGCCTAGAGAACAATATGTTAAAACAATTCGCAATTCGTATCAGTGGTTATTGAAGTTGGTAAAAATCGTTTCAGTTAATCCCAGAAATAAATCAACTTCGATTGGTTCATTGATGACTTAAATCAATTAAAAAAAAAGAAAACAGGTAGAACATACCCATAAATTGGTTTATTGACTAAATTCCGTTATTTTAAACTTCTAAATCAAATGGCGATTCGTTAAAATATCAGAATATAGAATAAAAGTTAAATTTTTAGTATCAGTAAATCATGCTAAATGTACAAGAAAATTATTGGAGCCTAAACAATATGGACGTAAATATAAATGCATAAACATTTCTAATAATATATTTGCTAAATATCTAAGGCCGCAAACGCATAAAAAATTCTAAAAATAGACAAATATAACCTCAATGAACCTCATGACAATAAAAATAAAATGCACGACAATATTTATGATATTTTTTAAAAATTTTTCATAGATTTAATAACAGTAATATTACTTTAAGAAAGCTCGAAATCTTAAAAGAACGATAAAATAGATGGAAGCTCAGTTTTTGATCTAATTAAACTAGACTATTACCAATGTTTCTCCAAAAAAAATAACCCCCTGACAAATTTGATTAACAGTATCAGCATTTCTACAAAATATTTGTAAAATACCTTATAAAATGGTGAAATTTTGATCAAACTTTTAAATGAGCTTTTTTTCCCTCTTTTTTATGTCTTTTTTAATTTGGCGAACAGATTCTTTCATTTCACGTTTCATCCACAGAGGAAGTTTATGTTTGATTCCAATGTAATCCTAAATAAAAATGCTTTCATTTAATTTCATATAGTTACAAATGCAAATATAATATTTACCAAAATTATGCAATAACTACATCTTAGTGCAATTATTAACTGACCCTTGTATGAATAAGGTTCTGGTTCAGAATCATCAGTGAAATTAAATAAATGTCGATCTTAGAACTAAGAGATGTGAATAGAACTTTAGCTCAACTCAACTTTTCAATAAAATATGGAAATATGGAAAAGAAAAAAAATGATGGAAATAAAATGACAATAAAAAGTTGAAAATGAAGGGAAAAAAGATGCTCAACAGTTCAAACAGATCAAAAAAAAAGAAATTTAGTTCTATCTCATTCTTATAACTTCAATTATTTTGATTTAAAACGAGCAAATTTACTCACTTTCATAAAATTTTTTGCATCTTCAACTTTCATATTTGAACTAAGTAAAGAAATTTTAGAACGCATTGTGGTCCCAATATATAGAGCTGATTCAGCTAAAGTACCTGTCCAGGCGTATAAACGTCGTTTACCACGACCGACTGTTTCGCCAGCATAGATGGTAAAAGCTTGAATATCGCTAGTACTTAATACATGGCTATAACAATTTTCATTTATAGCAACTTTAGAAAAAGAAAAGGAAAAATAGAAATAATTTTTGATACTCCAAACAGCTGTATGAAATTTGATATGACGAATTATTTAAAAATGAAGTATTCAATTCCTTATTTACAGTTTATAACAATTATATATAAAATAAGCCAGAAAAAATTAAAAAGGAATTAATCTATATAAAAAAGAAAAAAAACAAATCTTACGTCCCACAGCAATATTCCTTAATTTCAAATTTGCTTCCAATGGAAATATCCCCAATTTGGATAATTCGCACAGTTCTATTAGCACCAAGGTCCTTAAATAAAATATTATCATTAGCAGTCATACTTGAATAATATCATAACAAACTGGTTTCTGAAAATTTTGAGTAAGTGACAGTAAATGGGGAATTGAAAAAATCACATTCCAATCAAACTTCTGTGGAAAATCATTTTGCGAAAATTCAATATTTTCAATAGAAACATTACGATCAGCAATTGTCTGACTGGAACTAATAATGTCATTTATGAGCAAATCAATTTCAGCGATCTAAAAGACTGATAAATAAATAATAATGGCCAGAAAAGATGACAAATAAATTAAATCAATTATTTTATTGAATAAAAAGAATAAAAAAAATTTTTTGGGAACTTATAAAAAAAATATTAAAATGGTTAATGCCAATAAAACATATATATATATATAAACCTCGTCCGGGGTTAAATCTCTATTAAGCGAACAATCAAATCGCAAATTTTCGGCAGAAATGAGAGACCCACACTGTTGAACACCTGTACCGCAAACTTTTTGAATCGCATAGCGCAATAAGTGGGTGGCTGTGTGATTGCGCATTAATGAAAGGCGACGTCCCTACAATGAAAAAAAGAAAAAAGGAAACTAAGATCTTCAAAAGAACTAAGAAAAAAAATATGGACTACAGACTTACGGCATCGGAATCGAATCAAAAATGAGAATACAACACGAAATTAAGAATATTTTTTAAATTTATAAAATCTTGAATATGGATCAATGCTTTAAATACAAAACAAACTAAAACACCTCTAGCTTACTTCATTAATTCGTTGATAAATCTCCATATTAACCGTAAGATCTGAATGCAATGTTGTGCCAATTAAGAAAACATAGTTTTTATGGCGCTGAACATCTTTTACGCTGAATACTGGTTGCTGAAAAAATTCATTAAGTAAGATCAAATGAAAAAATATTATATTATAAAATATTATAAAGAAATATTATAAAAATATTTATGAAATATTTCATAAAATTTAATAAATCTTCAATAAATTTAATAAATCTTGAATAAGAATACTGATAAATGAAGAAATACTTTTCTGCTTTTGCTTTTAATCTATCTAAATAATAAATAATAATAAATAATAGTTTATTATGTGATTTTAAAAAAATCTCTTGGCATGTTTAAAATACTTTACTCGATTTTTGTCGAAAAGAATGCCAGTATCAGAAAGCTGTCCGCCTTGTTCGGCAAAAAAATTGGTAACATCAACAACAATATAACCTTCTTTAGATACTGAAAGGCTGTTGCAAATCCTTCTATTCATATCGAAAATAGCTAATATTTTGCCACCAATTTCAGCAAAACCTAAAATACTTTTAAAAGAGGCGAAATAAAAATACAAATAATACAAAGATGTAAAAACAAAGAAATTTTCAAAATTTGTAATATAGATTTGTAATTGTAATTTGTAATAAATCTTGATAAGACCAACTATATTCTCCGCTGTTTGATCGAGAATAATTGTATTTAAACAAATCATTGGTGACTGGAATTTCTTGATTTGTAAGTTGGTTCGAACAGTCACTGACTACTGTTCGTCGCCTTTCGAAACTGGACTTTGACAAAGCCTAAGAGCTTATTTAAATAAATCGAACATTTAAATATTCATAGAAAAATACTGGTGCCTTAGTGGAATGCTGTTCGCATTTTGAAGCAATGATGCTGGAATTAATGCTGTACTCCTGACAACGGTAAGCCTATTAATCCGAATAATGCTAATCGCCGTTTCGCTTCGCTTTCTCTTATCAATTGATCTTTTGGGAAAATTTACCAGGTTTGCTAGCAATGGTGAACTCTTCAAAAAATGATGCAAATGATGCAAATGTACATATACAATTACCTGTGCTAAAGCTTTTTCTTTTTCAAAACCAACCATATCGACAATTAATCCTTTTTCTTCAGCCAATAATGAAGCCATTTCAATATTTACTCCTTCATTATGAAGATTCCAAGCAATACTGCCTGCAATTTCATAAATGAAATTTTATTTAAATTTTTAATTTTCAAAACAACGTCCCCTCAATCTACGACTCAAATAGGCCAGAAAATTGGCACATTAAAAATTCCAAATAATTATTTCCTGCACATCATCTTTTATTTTTTTTATTTTTTATTTCTTTATTTTTTATTTCTTTTATTTTCTAGAAGTACAAATAAATAGTAAATAGTAAGTAGCACAATAGGCCATTTAGTTAATTAAATAAACTATTATGAAAAAATGAAAATGAAACAAAATTATTACCAGGTAAAATAAGAGAGTTTTCAGGTAACTGACTGATCACACTATGAAATCTTTTTTCTCCTTCCTTACGTAACTTCCAAAATTGTTCTTCTTCTTCTTTAACAACTTTTTCAATAACTTCATCATTTTTCAGCATATCAGGGTAAGAGTTTTTCTGCATCAGAAAAAATCAGCTTTACATAAAAAAATTAATGCATTCAACAAAATAAACAAATAAACAAAATAAATAAAACAATAAAAGCAGATGCAAATCGATATCTCAATTTTTTAACGAATAAAAAAAGACTAATTGAAAAAAGCATGAAGCAAAAATTGAAAAAAAAATGGATAGAAATGAGGAAAAGATACCAAGTGATATATAAAAAAAGGCACAATATTAGATAGATGTCCTTGATCGGCCTTTAAAAATAAGTATGAAGCTCGAGCCGCACGTCGTAATAAACGTCGCAACACATTTCTATAAATATTGCACGAAAAGTGAAAGTTGTCACTCTTGGCACGTCAACTGAAAATTATGGACTGATATAAATTTTAAAAAATAAATAGCCACCAACCCTTGGCCTTTTACAGATGCTCGCACACCATCAGATATTAAAATACATGATGTTCGTAAATGATCAGCAATAATTCGATAAGCACTATCCTTGTTATTTAAATCATGTTCGCCAACGCGACCTTCATATAGTCCCACATTACTATACTGAATAACATAATTATTATTAATTATTATCAAATTAAATAAATATAGTAAATCGTTACAAAAAACATTGATAGTTAATTAAACATGGTGAATACAAAAGCTATTTGAGGTCGGCCTCTCCAGCCTCGGTTTTGCATTCGTGCTTTGGCAACATCAATTTATAAAAACAAATAAAATGAGTGGAAAATAACCTTTGAGACTTCCTCGAGAAGGGGAATAAAAATATCAGTATCATAGCTTGTAATAACATTTTGCATTACAGCCGTCATACGTTCAAAACCCAATCCACAATCTATGTGTTGACGTGGCAGTGGTTTCAATAATCCCGAAGGTTCCCTATTATTTGGATTAACGAATGTTCAAAAAATTATAATGGATTATAGTGGATTAAAAGTGGATGTGCTTCACTAATGAATTACCAGCTTCGCTATTAGAATGGAAATTGCCGAAGAATTTTTTTGGCTCGAATAATTGGCAAATGTTGATCGAATTATAATGGATTACAGTGGATAAAAACTAATCGAAGAGGACTGAACTTAAATTAAAATGTATATATATATATATATATATATATATATGATTCATGTATTTCAGAAAATACTTATTGAACTGCAAAAAAACCAAATTCCACAATTCAACAACAGATGATCCATTGATATTGACCGATGCTGAAGCATCATTAGAACCTTGAACGTCAATATGAATTTCTGAAGAAGGACCACATGGTCCACATTCTGCTATCTCCCAAAAGTTATGTTTCAATCCAAACGGTAATATTCGACCAGGATTAACACTTGAAGTAAGAACATAAATATTTTAAAAATATATATATAGGCAAAATATATTTCTATAGCCAAAACATTTTGGGTTATTCTTCAAAAAACAATGCTTTATTAAAAAAACAATATTAAAAAAAATTTAAATTTAAAATTTAAAAATTTAAAATTTTCAAAACTTTGAAATTTACCCAATTTTTTTCCAAATATCTCTGCATTCGTAATCCGGTGGCAAAGCATATTTATCGTTCCCAGCAAAATAAGTTATATATAATTTTTCGGGTGGCACTGACAATATTTTCGTTAAAAAATTCCAAGCAAAATAACAAGCTTCTTCCTGACATTTTAAAGCTTTAAAGATTATCATAGTATCAAAAATAAATAAGCTGACAAAATTCGTGCAAATAAATAAATATTCATTTTAAATGAAAAGTGTTCAAGAAATATCTTTAAAACAAGTTGCAGTAAAAATCTCCAAAAAAAACACTTTAAAATAATCGCCAAAAGACCAGTTGCCAAGCATTTCGAAAAAAGTGTGGTGCGTTAAATCACGACCAACATGTTCCCAATCATTATGCTTACCACCAACTCGAATACACCCTTGCGAATTCACTGCACGTTTTAAGCGACCCAATTCGCTATTTGCTTCAACTGCACCCAAAAATATTGGCCGAAACTAAAAGCAAATAAACAAAAAGAAGTAAAAAAACAAAAATAAATTAAATTAGGAGAATATAGCGACACGATTATTGAAAATTATCAAAAGTATTCAAGAGAAATTTGGGAAATAAAACTTTTAAAAATTTATAGACAATTTATGCTTCAGCTGACAAGCAAATTTTTATGAAAGGAGTAAACTTGTTGTTAAAAGCGAGAAAAGATGAAGACGGAACTCAGCCTGGTTTTCTTCCTTTTGGTTCACTAAGAAATAAAATCGTTGCATTCGTGCAAATTAAATCGACTGAATAATTGTGAACCTTTCTTTTTATCTTACATTACAGCAATACAGATTTGGAAAGTCTTTCATTACGCTTATTAAAAATCAATTTATTTACTAAAGAAGGAGAAATAAGAAAATAAAACCTGGTTCATGCCAGCATTTGTAAACGGCAGCGATGGATCATCGTGTGAAACAATTGACGACGGTTGCACATAAGTGTGATTTAACGATATAAAATACTCTAAAAATGATGAACGCAATTCGCTCGATGACATTTTCGTAAATAAATATCGGCGTGTCACTTGCTTTATTATTCCTCTATGCCTTTTCATTTTTACCTAAAAATAAAGAGAGGAAACGAGGAAATGCTGAATGCGAAAACGAAAGGAATCGCGTTTCCTCCCTGCAAATCCTTTACAGAGGGAGAAATCAATGAACGATGAATCCATTCGTGCTTTGAAACATTACAATCGCTCGTTCCCAAATTTTAGGCAAAACCTTTTTCGAGAATTCATTAAATTCTTTAAATTACTATTTAGAAAAAATTCTCCAGATCCCTAAAATTTCAAGTTATTTGAAAAAGAGAAAAGTTCAAGCTGCAAAAAATTCCACGAAGAATAAATAACACACATATATACATATAAAGACATATATACGAAAGGAAACGTAGGCACCACTCACTTAAATGAGAGTATCACGACTGTCCAAAACTAGCCGCGGCCGACAACTACGGATAAGGCTGCAAGTAAGCGAAAACATAATTATGATGAGTTGCGCAGATATTCGTCGAGAAGAAGTTCGTAGAGAGAGGAAATCACAATAATCTATTTTTTGAATACAGTTTGTTAAGATTCTTATTTTTATAAATTTAAATTTTTTACTGAAATTTTTATTTTTCTGAATTTAGCTTTTTATCGAACTTCCCTTAGTTCATATTTTTGTAAATTTCAGGTTTTGGCCGATGGCGGATTTGTTTAATAATAGTAACAATAATAATAATATTAATATTAATAATAATAATAATAACAATAATATTGGTTTTGTTGAAACGGACGAGGATTTTGCCGAAGACGATTTGTTTACAACAGACGACGAAAATATCGCAAATAGTTTGTTTTACTTTTACTTTTCCTTGCATTATCTCCTTATTTTCGCATTATTATAAAAATTTTATAAAAATAGTGTATTGGTGTATATCCGCAAACGAAGTGTCGCCTTACCCGCAGACTGTGAACGTATGCGACCGATTCGAAGGTCGTTTAATGAAAGGCCTTATTGCTATAAAGGAGAAAGAAAGCATAGTGCATGAACAGACGAAGCAACATCTCCTCGACCTCTGCTGTGAGCTGTGGCAGTAGCAAAAGCCAGATTTTATCCTTTATTTAAAGCAAAAGTCTGCAAAGAGCGCCGAAGATCGAAGTCGAAGCCTTTGTTGTTTCGCAGAAAACCGCAGAACAAAACGCAAAAAGCAGAAAATTTTATTGAGAATTCAATATAGGATTGGGCGTAAGACAAGGTGAAGTTTTAGTGAGATTTTTTTTATTCGACTTAAGAACGGTTTTTTGCATTTTGCGCTCCGGCGTGCCCTGTCACTTCAGCAAATATCTACCGTTAAGTAGTTCCGCATTGGCACTTTGGAGATGCTACCAAATGTTGAGTTATCTTGGTTAGCACTGACAGGCTTATTTGTCATGTCTTGATTTTACCAATTTAATAGGCTCAATTCTTTGCTTCGTCTCGCAAGTGTGGTCTGTTCATCAAGCGCGCCTAGCTTTGCCACTCACTTCGGTTGAATTAAAAATCCTATACCATTGTCTTCTTGTTGTTTAAAAACGTGAAGATTGTTTTCAGTATCGTTTTTTGGTATCCTCTGAATCATTAACGGTCGAACAGGCAAAACATTCTTATCGTAAATTTTGAAATCGTAGGATTGGAAATGAATTATTGAATACCATGGTTGTCATTGAAACTGTGCACGAAAAAATGTGCTTATCGTAATATTTCTGGACAAATTATTTAAATCAGCCTTCGCATTATTGATTAGAAGCATTTTAATAAGCGAAACTTTGGTATTTACAATATATTTTTCCATTAAATAAGGAAAATTAAATCAATTGTTACATCAATTGTTTCGCATTTTGCGCTATTTTCGATTTAGATAGCTTTTTTTGACCGCAGCCGAAACTGAAAGCCAAATTTGGCATTGCAGTCGAAGCCGAAGAGCCCTTCGATGCAGATTTATTATCAGCTGATTTATGAGATCTTTTGTTCTTTCACTTAACCTCACAGTCTCAAAGATCCGACAAATATTTTTCATAACAAGCTTTATATCACTTAGTTTAGTCTGTTAACTTCTTCATAGCATCTTATATCATTCCATACCTTTTATAATATGGAGCACTTGTCAGCACTTTTCTTGTAATAAGATCATTCTTCTGTCCCTCATGGTTTATTGAAATCAAAGGGTGTTGTTGCCGAATGGCGAAAAAAGCTGTAAATATGAGCAAGTCATCCGGATCGCAGGTACCAATAATAGAGTATCTCATAAATGAGAGGTACAATTTTATTATGAAATTAAAAACCATAAATCTTCCCGCCCATTTTAAATTAAATATAAGCTACAAAAAGATCATTTTTGGTCATTTTATGCTCCTATTAGGGAAACGATTGGGGAGCGGTCGATGAATGATGGGCATTTATATCTTATATTTGATTTTATTTGCTGTATTATTTCCTTGTACTAGGATAATTGTTTCGCTTTACTTTCTTGTGCATATTTGCGCTTCACTAAAGGTTTTAATTATCCAAGTTTGAGGGTTCGCAACGAGAAAAGTAAGAAGAGAACGCTGGCTCCAGAGTTTTATAACACTATGAAGAAATAAAAGTCCCGCATAACAGGAACGTTAAATCTACACAGAAAAAAAATAGTGGAGCGGATTCCCAAAAGGAATTTTTATAAAGGTAGAATATTGGAAGGAGGATCTCCGTGCTCCCAACGAAAATTTCGTAGTGCTAAGAGAGTATATTTTTTTTTCTGTAGTTCGGTTGTCATGTACTGTGCTTATTTAGCGCTGTATCCTTCCATATGGTTCATTACGCACTATTCAATTTATTGTGGTTAACTAGTATAATTGTTGTTACCTATTATTATGAATGATTATTATATATTACTAAATTATTATTAAAAATATTTTCTTCTAACGCAGACTTCTATAAAATTACGTAACATTTTTAAAACTCATTATTTCTTTTCAACTTGTCTCCCTTAACTCCACAAACCCCTCATGCTCCTTTTATATGCCAATTTCTTGATGTCATCATCCCCTCTTTAGCATTCGTTCAGGCTCCTTAACATTTTGCCATATCTCTCTTTCGCTAAAATATTTCTTTTTGCATTATATCTTGAATTTTGATTAATTTTTTATTAATCATTTCATTAATTATTAATTCATTCTACTCTTCAAACTTTTAGTTCCTCATTACGACAAGAGTTTACGGTTTTATTATACAGAATATACTGGAGGATTAAAGAAAAATATCACGAAAATTGGTATAAGAATTTTTGAGGGAATATAACGGAAGATAGGGAGATTAAGGATAAGGTAGAGTTTGAAGGGAAATGAGAATTGGTGAATGGGAATTTTATAAATGCATCTTAACCTGCTAATTGGTGATGGTATTAAGCGATATAAGGACATATTTTTGTTCTGTTTATTTTGCGACATTGATATTTTTTAAGAATGTTTTCACCTATATATAGCCATATTTATCACGCTTATCAAATTATTTAAAAATTCTACCGATTAGTAAAGCAGATCTTTTTACTGGTTCATTTTAATTTTCTTTTCAATCGTGCTGTTCTTTTCATTCGTCAGAATTCTTTTTTACATTTTCTTTATTTGTTTAGAAGTATTTGAAATCTGCGATGGAACACAATCATTTTTGGAACGTGATAATTTCGAAAAAGAACTCGGATATGCTGATGATGATCCATTCGCTGAAGATTTTTCTGATATAAGTCAGCATGATATTATCACTGTTATTGCTGATGGGGATCGAGTCGCACGGTTAGAGATTTTGTATATTTTATATATTATATATATTTTCAGATATATATAATATATTTTATTATATTTTATTATTTAATATATTTTCTTATTACCATCCAATATAATATATTTTCTTGTTGGTTTCGTCATTTTTTTTGCTGACTCTTCTTTTAGCGCACCATGTTTAGACAAACTCCAATGACCTGAAATCCAAAAGACTTTCAAGCGTCTCAGTCAGGTGCATTTAAAATTTTTGAAAGCTAGTCTTTTTTCTACTACCAAAGTTTACAAATTGACAGATTAATCGTAATAACCGTGTAAATGCATTTGGGGAGATAGTGCTGGAACAAAGGTGACCTAACCAGTGATTATGCTCTAGCACTGCCATTGTATGAACGTTGTACTTTGGACTGGAAAAATTTGATCACCATTTTGCTAACATTTTTACTTAAATTATTATATATGTAATTATTATATATTACAGACCAATATTGGTGATTTATGCATATCGGCTACCATCCAATAAATCTTTTGATCACCAAAAATTTCTCAGGTTTCTTTAAAGTTTTCTTTAAGTGATGTAGCTATATCAGTAACATTTCATCTTCATTTCATCAGTAGTAAATATCGAAGATCTTGAAAGTCTTCGAAAACAGATACATATTTCTTTTTTCCATATGAATTTCTTTATGAGCAGCATGGATTCTTTTATGTGAATAAATTCACTAGTTTTAGAATCTGCTGGGGACTATTACTATCATTATCATAAATTTGTCACTATTCTTAAATGATTCTATGACGAATAAATTTTCCGATTTGGTGAGATTTAAAAAATATCATTTTGATTGGTGATATGCTTTTTTTTTTCAGATTCTTGCAATTCACATTGGACAAAGTTGTAGAGCTTGATTATACAATTGTTTACTTTCATTATGGGCTGCGTAGTAATAATAAACCGCCTCTAAGATGGCTTGTACAAGCTTATTTAATTTTGGATCGGAAGTTTGTATTTCAGTTATATTTTTTGGCGGCTTATTTTTGACAAAATTTTATGTTATTTTCTCTATGTTATTGTCTAAAACTTTTCGTGAGAAATTAATTACTGCTTGCATTTAGATATAAGAAAAATTTAAAAGCGCTGTTCCTTGTTCATCCAACAAGATTCATTCGATTTGTTTGGGGAATGTTTAAGCCATTTATTTCAATAAAATTCGAACGAAAAGTGCATTACGTGAATTTTCTTCATGAACTTAACGTGTTTCTTCATGTGGAACAATTAAACCTTCCTCAACCTGTTTTAGAGTTCTCATTTTGTTCATTTAATCTTTTGATTTATTTATTATAATCACGGTACCCGATATTCACACGAATTTATATTAGCTAATCTTCTTTTAATACTAATTTATTAATTTTATTATTTCAGCCATGATTTGGCATTGCTTCAGTCATCAGATACCTTTTCAAATAATTCATCGTTTTCAAAATCTCCTTTAATACCTCCTCGTCCAACGCAACAATTCAACGTACCGTTAAGCTTGTATATTTTCCACTTTTAATTCAGTTTTTTTTTGATTTAGTGGCCTATTTTATTTTGATAAATGTATATTCTTTTACTTGATGTATTACTTGATGTACTTTTACTTAAATTTATTGAAATATGTTGGAGTTTAAAATGGGATTCTTCAATTCAGGATAATTGCAGTATATTATCGCATCATCCCGATTGCGACATACCCCCTATTGTCACCGATCTCATTTCTTTTTTGCGTGAATACTCTCTTGAGGTTGAAGGTCTTTTTCGCCGTTCAGCTGATGTTGCTTCAATAAAGCGATTACAAGAAAGAATCGATCGAGGTTGCATTTTTCTTTTTTTATTGTATTCGCCTATTGTAGTTTTTAAATTCATTCTGCAGTTTTATTTTGTTCATTTTGTTTTATTATTTCAGGAGAAAAAATAGATTTTTTAAATGAAGAACCTTATAAAAACAATGTTATTGGTGCTTCAATTGACGCATCTGTATTGCTCAAAACATTTCTTCGTTCATTGGGTGAACCAGTTATCACTAACGAATTGTATCCAAAATTGGCTGCTTTGGCAGGTTTACACTTTTTTTAAACCAGTTTATCGCTGACAATTTGTGGGGTAATTGGAGATTTTTTTATATTTTCTATTTTTAAGACATTCCTAAGGAAAACAAATTGGAAGCAATTTGTGAATTCGTAATGTTATTGCCATCAGAGAATCGGCTTCTGCTCAATACTGTTTGCCATTTTCTTAGAGAAGTTATTTTTTTGTTATTTTTTTGATGTTGATCTTGATTTAATTTTTTCATTTTTTTGTGGAATTTAAATTAAATTTAATGAGGTTTAAGTCAGATTTTTACTAATTTTTTCAGGTCGCAGCTCATAGTAAATTTAATTTGATGAATGCTAATAATCTTAGTGTTGTATTCGGACCCAATCTTACATGGCCTACTGACAAACAGGTTTGTTTTTTGAATTTAAATATTGTTTATTATCTGCGCTCTTATGCTTAAATTGCTCATTATCTGGTAAATTTCAATGCTATTCTTAAATATTTTTATTATAAGGTGCCTATATCGCAGTTGAACAATTTAAATAATTTCTGTTATCGCCTTATTGTCGACTATAATGTTGTTTTTGCTAATGCTTAATTGATTGGTATCTGCTGGTGAGTTTTTATTGCAACTGACGAGTATATATTGTGGTCTTCAATAAATTTTCGATAGTTAAATCAAAATTATATTTATCTTCAGTCATATTACATTTATCTTAGATGAGAAAAGGATGAGCTCAATTTTCTGTAAAAAAAAAGATCTTTATTTTTTCGTCTGTTTTTATTTTTTTAAATTTATTAAATTATTATTAATTTTTTAAAAAATTAAGAAAGAAGTATCATGGTGAAATGAAATGAATAAATTGATAAAAAATTTTTGATTTGTATTTGCAGTTTTTTAAATGGAATTTGTTGAGAGAATTTTTTCATTATTATTACGCAGTTCCAAAGTACAGTTGCTTGCTTACCATATTTAAATATGTTTGAATATGATTTTTTTAAAAATATATTTAAAACGATTTCTAAATGTTTAATGACCAAATCAGTAGTGAATATTATTTGTCATTTATTATTTATTTATCATTCTTGCCGGTTTTCCATTAGTTTATTCATGTTTTTTTTTCTATTTTTTATTGGTTCATTATTAAACTTCTATATTTTTTTATGAATAATAAAAAATATTTCTTGTTTTTCTTTATAATTGATTTTTATAGTACGGACAATTGTAGATTTCATTAATTTCAGTCATTTAGACCATAAATCTTTTCATGTTAATTTTTTGATTATTTGCATGGCTCCTTCATTCCTTGTCCTTTTTTCTTTTTCTTTTAATTTTTTGTAAAGTTTGCATTTCGAACTGCTTCTGCTATGCATTTGCATGACTCTCTCGACTAATGTGAGGCATTTTAAAGAAACTTTATTATATCATGTTTTTTGCCAAGTTTTTTTGTTTTATCAACACTCATAAAATTATTCAGTGGAATTATAACTGAGGTAAGCATGGAATTATAATTGAGGTAAGATTTAAGATCGATTTTAAAATTATATAAGCAATAAGTGTAGTTAGCCTACAGAAACTGAATTTTGGCTCATTAAATTTCTTCTTCTTCTTCTTCTTTCTTGTAGAACAATATTCAATATGTGCTGTGAATTATGAAAACAGTGATGTTTTAAAATACTTTGTAAATTATAATTTATACATATTAGACAAATTTTCTATCAGTTATCGGCTACCTAGACATGCATGGCAGGTATTAAGCCGAAGTATATATGTAAGCACATGTAATCTTCGAAAGTTTGATTATTGTTCGAAAATGCTCATAGATTTCAATCAAAATAAGTTGAATATGTGCATTGTGCTTATTTGCAATATTGTGTTGGTAAAAATTAAAATTAAAATATGTCTTCTGGCATTGAATGAATTAAATGAATTAAAGTTGCTTTCTGGGTTGCAAATACTTGTTTTATCTCCAATCGAGATGCGTACTATATGGCAGCTTTCTCGATCAACGATTTATTTGATCAGTAAATACCTTCTCTAGACTCGATTCATTTTTTATTGAAAAAATTCACTATTGGAAATGGGAAGAGCTGAATTGAATAAAAGAAAAAATGAAAATTTGATATAATAGATATATTCTCCTAGATTATTTTAAGGAAAAATAGTTGGTTCGTGCGTTTATTTACGGTTCATTAGCTTAGTTGCAAAGAACGGCTACAAGAAATTTTGGCCGCCAGGTCACTTGACAACAGAAGAGCAGCCAGGTCGCCACCCTGACATTTTCAGGGACTTTTTTAAATTGCAGGTTCGTTCCTATTGCGCCGTGCACAACTGAATCCTCGACGTTCAGTCACTAAAACTAAATATGATGAAAAATTATAAGTGAAATTGAAAATTCAATTCAATTCTTTTTGGCGATCGAATTCTATGAAAAAATTAAAGCATTCAAAGATTTCGCGAATCATTGTGTAAATAATTGTGATGGAACGATTCAAGAAAAGTGCTTCTTTCATCGCAGAATTAGTGATATGTTTGCTGCACTGTTATCCCTAGGAAATCTCTTGGATATCGGCCAATGGAAACTTGTTTTTGGCCCGAAAAGTTGGGTTTTTTTGAGCCGCCGCGGATCTCAAACGTTTCCATTTTCGAAATTAAGCTGGAAATAACTATTTCAAATAATTGCTGCTGCTTCCTCATTTATTGTTTATTAGATGGACTCATTGCTTTAAAACAGCTTATTTTTGGTTTGATTAGCTCCGTTGGAAAAGGGGTTCGGGCGAGTTCTTCCCAAATGTTTTCACTCTCACTAGGTTTCGCTCTTCCCTGGAGTTTTGTCAACGAAGTTAAACCTAGCTGTCCTGAGCGAAAATCTAGATAAAAAATCAGTGTGTCTTCCAGCGCACGGCATTTTTTGTCTTACTCTACTGGATTCCAGGATGAAGGGACAGCTAGGTTTCTGTCCGATATCGGTATTATATTATATTTTAGCGCAAATAATCGAATAATACTACACTTTTCTTTTGTGTTTGTTAATTAATCGCATTCCATGTCGTGAAATTTATGCTAAATGGTTTTCAAATTGCCTAAAATTTTCTAGTTATATTTCTGAAAAAACCAATAATCTTTTAAAAGGGCGCTTTTATGGTGAGTGTGTGCAGGTTCTAAATTCCCTTCTCATCTCTTGCGGTTGGTTTGGCTTTTTCTTACCCTCAGATTCTCTATCAGAGGCCTAAGAGTTTGAGGCTTGGCAATATCCTAGTATAAAAGTGTATCCTTATGGCTAAAGATCTTTAATATTGTTCCTAGATTCTACTGGAGCGACTTTTCTAACTAAGCGGTTACGGCTCCGAGTTATTTCTCTAATTTTTCATGTTTTTTGCTTACGTATATATCGTTTGCTATATCTATCACCACCTTCTTTTCTGATTTTTGTATATACCACATTATCTGGTTCGTTGACGAGTATTTTTTTGTCTGTCTGGATGGAGAAGTCATACAGTTTTATATGGAATCTTCCATATGGTCTCGTGGCGAATCTAGCCCATATGCTGTGGACAGTGGCGTCAGCTTGGTCATGCTGTTCACTGTATGTATCTGTTTTTGCCAGCATCTTACATCCTGTTACTATATGCTGGGCAGTGTCTGAGGCTTTTTTGTTCAGTCTGGATCCTTTCTAGTCCTGCTTCGTGGATCTGATGGTTGATACTTTTTCTTGCATTGCTATTATCAATGTGCAATTTTTAAGTCTAGCTTTCTCCAACTACTAGTAGAATTTCTTATTGTTGGCCACCCCAGCTATTTGTCAATAGATAAATTCCACATAGGGTCTTTGCCATGGTGCATACTTTCTATGTTTGGTCTTCTAATGTTTGCTAATGCTTCAGACATTCCCTTATTAGCTCATTCTACCATCTTATTCCTGATATATTCTTGAATGTTTCGGATTTCTTTCAAAATGGTAGTTTTGACACTCCCAAATCCAGATCACCAAATCTCAGTTCACTCTCCTGTACATCTTTGGGTGGAAATTTCCCTGCATTGCGAGGATTTTGCGAGAGTCTTCACATCGGCAGCCTCCATATCTTCCTTTGTCCATCTTATTATGCTATTTATCAGGGCGTATATGTTTATGGCGTGGATTTTGTTTTTTTCCATTGAGCTAGACCTTCAAAACCTATCTTATTCGTTAGTAGTATTTGGATGTCGCTCTTCCCTATCTCATGGTTTTTGCAACTTTGGGGTACGAAAGTGATTATAGCTGGTTTGTGTCTATTATTTGATCCCTGTCAGTTTTAATCAATTTTCTTCTCTTCACGATCATCTCCAATCTGAATCGTATCTCAGTGTCTTCAGTCTAGATTTGTAGATTAGTGTTAGATGAATGAGTGAGTCAATGAGACTTAACAAATAATCAACATACATATTTCATACATACATATTTCGCCCTCTGTGGGTGATGTGGGTTCTTCTCAACCTCTACCAGAGGCATCGGAGACTGAGGCAAAGCAGATAAGCTTTTAGAGGATCTCACTTAAGGAAAGGCAGAGAGGATTGGCTGCGATTCGAACCGTTGTTACATTCCATATTAATCGCCCACCACCCACCTTTCTTATTTCTCTCCTATCGAATTGCTTTAGCAGAACCTTACTACAGTATTTAAAAATGACATTTTTATCGCTATTTCCACTGTATAAAAACATTAAAGCTCTTAACGACACAAATTTTTCCATTCATTTTAGATTAAATAAGTTGAATTCTTTTTCTTCCATTATTTTCTTTACCAGCTTTTCTTTTTTCCCTAATAATTTGGAATGTATTGAATATATTCTAAAATATTTGACACAAATAAAGCATGCATAGCGCAATATTTCTCGTTCTCCTGGTGCCATATTGAAAAAGGTCGGGAAGTTTAAAAGGTTAAAGGTTAAACTTTAAAAGCCCCAAACCACAAAAGCGACGATCACCATTGAATGTTTGATTGATTTTTGCAATATTTTATAATATCTTGAAATTTTCGAAGTTTTAGGTGAAAATTTTTTTCTCGATATTTGTCAACGATAAGAAATGCAATCTTCCATCACCCATCGATTGTCATCCAACGCAATTTGTTTTAAACTGCAAACAAGAATTTTCAGCAAGAATTTATTTATATTATCCTTTTTTTCCATTTCTTAATATTTAACCATCGCATTATTCACAAGTCTTTAATTTTCCTTTCTCCTTTTTCCTCTCCTTTCCCTTCCTCTCCAACTCCTCTCCATCCTTCCTCATTATCTCCCTCTTCTTTTCACTTCATTTTCAAGCTTGTCTATATTATCTGTTTTAAATTAATATCCTATATGGTAGCTGAAAGACATTTTTAAAAAAAAGAATAAGGAAATTTTTTATAAACATTGGTAACTTAAAGCCAAAAGAACATAGCTGCTTGCTGCTAACGAGAATGTTTTCTTCAGTAATTCTTTAGTGATTAGGAGAGAATAGGAGAATATATATTTCGACTGGATCAGTCAGTCAGTCTCCCTGCTATGGATTTATCAGTAGTTCTATATGCGACTTTCTGGCGAGATCTTATCCTAAGAGCCACTCGAGTTAGTCAAACTAGAAATGTTGAATGCTGTTAGAAAAAGAGCTTTTCCTTCATATATTAATATATACCTGTTATACGAGCTCGATTATAATTTTTTCTCGTTTCTTTCAAAAAAATTTTTTTTCAGAAAATTTCGACAGTTAAAGTTACCAATTAATTTCCGCGTTGAAAAATTAATGAAACTAATTAAATGAAAATAGGGGTAGCCGAGTGAATGGCAACTCAAACTGTCGTGAGAAGTAAGGGAGGAATCGGTCAGCTTATATCCCCAGCGTGAGTAAACCAGTTTTAAAAATTCCGATGCAAATCGTGTGACATACCGAGACCTTTGCCCCTGCCAAGTGGTAATTAAACGAAAAGCTTCCATTTTATTAATTTAGTGAAAATAAATACAATAAATAATCAGATAAATTTTTGAGAATTTTAGGTGTTTTCAAATTTTTTATTCAAATTTAAAACGGTAAATAAAAAGCGGCTTTAAAATTTCCTATAACACAACATATTTAAAATTTTACAAATCGTTTAAAAGATGTTTAAAATGCTTCTTGCGAATTGCTCACACGCTTTGATTATACACTACTCTTAGTTTGGGATCTGCAAACCCCATGGGAATCCATGGTCTCCGATACGTTTCCACCCTATTCTGCACTTCGTTCAACCATGAATGTAAGTTAGAATTCATGTGTAAATACATGCATTTTTAACGCCAGCACAAATCACTGTTACTTTCACTTTTTCTCTTATTTTACTCTTATTTTATTTCATTTAAAGAAATTATTCGAAGAGATTCCATAGGCTTTATCATATTAAAAAATCCATGGTTCACGATGATTTTAATTAAATAATTAATTTCACAAGTAAATAACCAGTTTAGCCAGATTTTAGTTAAATTCTATTGAAGATTAAATTTTGTAAAAGACATTCTCGATTTATTCTTGAAAATATTTCGTTGAAAATGCCATTACTGAATAAATAAATAAATAAATATATATATATATATATATATATATATATATGCTGTTAAGAGCATCTATATTTTTAATAACGAGTAATATAATGAGGATACAGAGTTGCTGGAGTTTATCGCAAAAATTTGATTCTCGTTTCTGGTTGTAGTAAATCTGTCATTAAGAAAAGTCCGGGTGGCGTTGGCGATTCACTTGTACTTCTGTTGCCAAACTGTGTCGCAAAAATTTCCCATCGTACTAATAGCCAGTGGAATGAGCCTAACCAGAAATGGCAGGTGCTAACCATTTATTTACTTACTTTATATTTAGGAAAAACAATGAAAGAGTTATGTTTCCGTTGTAAAAGGCCAACTTATTTCAATGATAAAGTTGGGCCGCTCAAAGATGGTGTTTTGTTTCATAAGGTAAAGTTCGTTCTCGTATTTAATTTGCTATTTTTAAGACGCTGTCAAAGGATTCCTTCCTTTTTTCAGTTCAACTCATATCATTCCGAATATTTATTAAAGAAATAAAAAAATGTTCTGAATAACCCACTGTTCAAATTTCTCTATTCTAGGGGTGCTTTAAATGTTGGATTTGCGGATCTCGTTTGTCATTGAAAACATACCACAATAACCGAAATGACACGCAAGATTTGGAGGTGCGAAAAATTTCTCATCTTCAAAAACAAGGACCCAAATGCAATGCCATAATGGCCGAATTGTTTGTTGCATGCAGAAAACCTCGATTTTTATTTTATATCTCTGCCTTGTTATGATCATCAAGAACCAAGAAAACGTCGCATTATAATTTGATATCAGTTTTGCATAATGTAAAAATTTTAGGTATATTGTGCTGGACATGTGCCTACACCAGGTCCTCACGATCCAATACCACACCGATCAAATCTTCTTTGCAGTCCTAAGACAAGAGGTGATTATCCATATAATTTAATGAGACCAGCTGGTCCATGATGATACCAAAATTTGGAAAATTTATATCTAAACAGTATTTTCGTACCATACATATATAAATACCAGATATATCAATATATGAAGTTTATTCAATTCTATAAAGTTTTTTATTTAAATATATAATATATTACCAAATGAAAATATGACAGGAAATTATCTTATTCCTAAAAAAGAACCAGAAATTCAGATTCAGATAGTGTCTGGATTAAAAATTTCAATCCAGTATCCATCTGGATCTTCGATGAAAGCGAGTCCTTTCATACGACCATCATCTGGTTTCTTAACAAATTTAACACCCATTTTTTCAAAACGCTCACAGGCAACATAAACATCAGGAACAGCAATACCAATATGACCAAAACCACGAGGCTCTTTATTACCGTTATGATAACTGAATTCCACATCTTCTTCCGTGCCCCAGTTGCTAAAAAAATAAAAAAAATAAAATTTTGCGAATTTTGCGAATAAAATTAAAATTTGGAAAATTTATATCTAAACAGTATTTTCGTACTATACATATATAAATATCAAATATAGCAATATAATAAGTATTATGTATATATATATAAATATTAGATATAGCAATAAAGTAAGTACAATATATAAAATATATAAAAGAAATAAATAATAAATCTCAAAAATTAACTATGAATTTTTCTCAAAAATTCAAAAAATAAAATAAATAAAAAATTAAAAAAATTTTTTTAAATTTCCAGCAAAACAAGATTTTGTCATTTCTACATATTTTTCTACTATATTTCTACTATATTTTTCTGAATGGCAAGAATGAAATTTCACTTCAAAAGTTCCTTTATAACTTTTTTTTTTGAAAAATAATGGCGAAAGAACTATTGTAAAATATAGTTCAATATATTTATTATTTCGAATAATATAACTGGTTTCTTAACAAATTTAACACCCATTTTTTCAAAACGCTCACAGGCAACATAAACATGTACAGCAATACCAATATGACCAAAACCATGAGGTTCTTTATTACCGTTATGATAACTGAATTCCACATCTTCTTCCGTGTATAACTGAAATCCGATAAAAGAACGTACTGAGTTAATTCAATTGTTGGATAGGTGGATAAAGCATAGTGTTTGCGTTCTATATCATCTTCTGGTATTTCTGAGCGAGGTTTATATCCAACGAAATAGAGAGAAAATTTCGCTTGTTCAAAATCCATTCTTTTTAATAGTCTAAAAAGCCAAAAAAAGTGTAAAATTTAAAAAGGAGATGATTCAACATAGAATAAATGTGAAATCAACATCCATCAACATCAACATTACTATAAACTTGTAAAGTATAAAAAAGAACCTCATCCCCAAGATATCACAATAGAAAGGTAATGATTTTCGTGGATCTTTTATGCGAAGCATAGTTTGTTGGAAATAAAAATGTTTTGTTTCCACAGGTTGTTCAGCATTTAAATATCTGTCCTGTAATAAATAAAACGTTAAATATAACTATAATTTATAAAGAAATGAGCCGCCATTATTAACAATTTGTGCTTCTAAATATTACTAAATATTGTAAATTTCCAACATTTAATGCATATTTGATTCAATTATGGCATGGTTTTTCCAACTATAGAAAAAAATAAATGCGTTCAGCATTCAGATGAAAAAGGAAGTGAAAAAATATACTTCACTAATTCCCCCATGGATTTTTTCTCCTTCCTGCGTAACTGGCTTATTTTTATGAACAGTCCCCCCGCATCTTTGAATATTCGGTTGTAGCATTCTAAAAATGAAAAGATTTTTAGTAAGGAACTCCAGAAGATGATTTGTAAAAGATGGTGTAATAAAACATAGAACATCTAACAAAACAAATAATGATAAACAAATAATAACAATCTTTCAAAGACTTATTGAATTTGATTCAACTTTATAGACTCATTTTGGTGGACTTCTAGCCTGGCTATTCACATTAACTAATAAAACTGGATTCTTGCTCAAAAAATAAATAATCTTGTAACCAATGCAGATGGCATTAAAAGCAATATCACGATATCACGTGAAAATAAAAAATAATCGAGAAACATATAAGACATTACAGTGATTGTATAATTAAGCAACCAAGTCATGTGCGTGACACCACTTAAGGCTCAATTAGCAATAAGGAAATTTATGGTAATGATAACAATGACTAAAGCAAAAGAATAGAGCGAGATCTGATGGAGCAATAATGGAATACAAGTTTCAAATGAAGAAGAGTATTAGGTAATAATCCAGTTAGTAATATAGGATGTTCCGAGGAAATTGTTGTTAAGTTAGGGGACGTTACTATTTATTCGTCAGTAAGGATCTATAGAAATGAAGATGAGAATAACTGGATCTTACTGGATTTTAGACAGTCAGAATAATTTAGATTGAGACTGGAAAGAACATTTGGGAAATTTGGGAAAAATTTGGGAAAAAATAGATGATTATTTTTAAAAGCAGTATAATAAAATTTTTTAAAAAACAATAAAAATAAGAACAATGGTAAACAAAAGGACAATGTAAATTCATTCTAATATCAAGGCTGACTACTGTACTGCGCTTGCAGATTTAATGAAGCTTTATGAGAATAAAATGGTGTCGGACATTTTAAGAGGCTACACAGTTGCGTCTGATAGTAAAGCACTCAAAATTTTTACCAATGTATTATGGCAAAAGAATACAGCGCGAGAGGAAGTATCTCAGATCTCTTGATTTTTTACGAAATAAATTCTAGGAGGCACCAGTGGTTATAACACGGGAGCTCCAGATTTCGCATTGTTTTCACCCCTGATACCACTATTCCTAGTATTTCTATTAGTACTTTGTAAATAATTTGCAAATACATTTGTGGCAAAAGTTAACTACGAGGTTTAGCGGAGACGTAAATAAGAATGGGGGTTAATGATGATAAGGAAGAGAATAAAGTGACAAAGGATGGTCGGGAGATATTTGGTAGAGTTTGGGAAGAATTTTTACAAATAAATGCGATGTTTTAGAAGCACCAAAGAGAGTTTCCGGCCGAGGGTTTTGAAAACATTTTAGGAACCCATGTGATCAAGCTAAAAAAAACGATGAAGATTTTTGGCAAGAGGAGAGTTCGACGAGGATGCCAAAGAGAATTGCGAGGATTTTGGTAATATATCGGGTTGCAATAAGTTTTAAGGAAACTATCGGATGAATGCAATGGTTTATTGGGGAATTCAAATAGCGTGATGAGATTTATGGAAGTATTATTAATGGGGTGTAGCAGAAAAAATACAGCGACAGAGTATGAGAAATTAAGAAAAATTAGAGTATAAGAAATATCTTTCGAGGGTGGGAAGGGATATAAAAGCTTCTGAAGATGAGGAACTTATTAGGGCCCATGAAAATAGCACCTATAATTGAAGGTAAAAAAGGTTATTGGGACGGAACGAGTTTTAATATAACTTAGGGTGTTCTAAAAGAGGATTTATATTTGGAAATTCTCACGAAAAGTGGCAGATTTTTGGAGGATATAGAAAATTTTTTTCCGGACACAAATATATAAAAAATTACTGCTTATAACTGAAAGGGATCTATATGAAAAAAGATAAAATAGTAAACCGTACTTGCCCAAGTTGAATCAGGATTAATTTCACTCTGTGCAACAACGTAAGCAACTGCAAACAGGCAAAAACAGCCACTCACCATCCACCACTGAAATCTTCAAAATATGAAAAAATAGAGTGATTTACTTTTCTGTGATTTAAAATGATAGCTCTGAGGCCTTTCATGCGATGAAACTCACAATAAATTGCTGACGTTTTGATGAAACCATTTTTCTCTTTTGTTACCCAAGAAAATATATGAAAATGATTAAAAGCTTGAAAAAAATTTCGATTTCAAATAATCGCAACTTTCTCCTTCTTCTAACGACATATTTTGGCTGCCAGAGAAATGAATTACAAGAAGCGCACAAGATTAAATAAGTTTCCATAATTTAAAAATTTGTTGAAACTGCGGGAAAATCATTTGAATAAATTTATGTAAGCAGCAAAAAATCAAAATTACAAACCTCCCAAAATTTAAGCTGTCGACCGCCCGCTGGTAATTTCCAATATCTTCGTTCTCTCCAAAATGAATTTTCACCTGAACCAATAATAACGCTTCTAATAATCGAAAATCTCATAAAATATTTCAGTTCTCACAATCTGTGCAATTAATGAAATATTCAAAAAGTTAATGATTTAATCAATAAATGGAGTAAATAAGTATAATTAAGCAGATTGTCAGTGGGTTGTTGTTCAATTCTGAGCCGATGTTGAGGTTCTATTCCCCGCAAGAGGAAATCTCAAAAATCCAGGTGATGCTGGCGATATCTGTATTTCTATCGCCAAGGGACTCCCTGGCATATTTATCCAGTGCGACGAGCCAGCGGAGCGATGGCTTTAACCAGTAATGGTGAGGACTTTTAAAAAAAATTGAGCAGATAGACTGCTTCGCTGTCCTTCCACTTTTGAGGAATGAATAATACTAATCAAATACTACAACATACTTATTTCATACTTAGGCAGACAAATGAATCAGTAGTAACTCAACTGAATTTTTCCTCCTTAAATCAAATCGATAAATGGATTTTTGCAAATTTAATAAAAAAAGACATGGAAAATTAAGGAGCAATCATTTGACTTATCGATTTTCACAGAGAAAATTTCAGCTCTGGTTGGCCACAATTAGTTCCAACTGGTTCCGCTCACGAAGCCCCCAGAAATCTTTTTGTCGCAGTCACTTGGGAATGGAAATAGAATCTTCAGCTCTTCGACTTCTTCTTTACGATTTTATATTCACTCGCATAAAGAGTCAAAAACTTCTGCAAAACCTCAGCCAAGGTCAAACCCAGTATTATTGATAAAAATAAAAAGGCTGTGATTTAACTTAAAGAACAAAAAGTCGGCCTCTCGAATGCGGACGCCTGCGGTGAAACTTCAGATAAGCTAAGCTACAAATAGATTGGCACTAATTTACATCTGAATAATTTGGTCTATTTGCACCAAATTTTTTGTTGTTCTGTTCGTGTTCTCTTCCATAGTTGTATTATTTTTTCTCTTCCAGTAATCGGCACTGTTACTGGTTAGTGCCATTGGCTGCGTCAACTAAATGGGTCATCTGTTGATTCTATCTGAGAATAAACAGGATGTTTCTCTTTTTTCTTTGGGCTACTTCTTTGGGCTCATTTAAAATGGTATCTGCTCAAGTCTTGGTTGGGACTCCCCATTTTTTACGCTTTCCACTATTTAGCATATCGAATATACGTCAATTCCTCTTATGGGCAGGGAAAAACATCATGCCTAATCGGCGTAAATGGCAGAAAAATTCCAATTCCTCCACTAATTCAGAGCAATATACAAGGATAATACAGCCGAGTGGCTAGTGGTTGAGAATACCTTACTGAAAGTAAAGTTTGGTTTCTGCCTTTAGCAAGAGTAAACCTTTTATCAAAAATTCTGGCTAAAATTTCAAACCGTATTAACAGCCAGCGGAGCCAAGCTAACCAGAAATGGTCGGCGCTGACTAGTTTTTTTGACAAAAATTCGGTGAGTTTAAAGTTTTTTTATATCATATTGAGCATCTATCTTTAGAAAGGAAAAAATATGAAAAAAGGTTCGATATTTTTAAATTTTTTATATCCATGAAAATATCAATCGTATAAATATTCATAAACAATATCATTGGTATAAAAAATTTTAGTATGGTCGGTAATATCCAGGTGGTGGCATACGATGGTAATCAACAGCCAGGTTGTAGTAGCCAGTTGGGTCACTTGCTATATATGGGGCAGCAATGAACGATTGTCGAGATGATGTTACTCGACTAACCGGCGATGGAAGTGATGCTTCTTCATGTTGTTGTGATGCTGCTTTCGATGCAACCTAAAATATATTGATCAACATGTTTTTGATTCTGAATTTTCTATCGAGAAAATTAGTCGACGGGTTGGAAAGAAAGTATTTTGACCTTATTGAACCATTCTTGATAAGTAGTTTCACCGACACCTTTAGGACTTTCATCTGTTGTATTTGGTGAACCTTTGCCATTTTGTGATGCTGTTGTTGCCTGCGAAAATTGACGGCCATGAGCAGTTGTTTGATAGGCAGCATTATCATACCCCTTTTTATCATTCGTCGTATTTACTGGATTTTGCAATGAAATTGTAAATTATAATTTAAATATTTATAGGGCTAAAATCCGAAGATTCACTCTTTAATTGAAATTTAATTTTTTGCTAGCTTCGCTGCCTCAACGGTTGTGTAATATAAAAAATGCGGTGAGTAATTTTTAGTGAATCACGTGGAGGTGAAATTAGAGATGGTTCTTCTAGATTTTATAACTGGTTTAACCATTCGCTTATACTATGCTTCCTTTTCTTTAATGCGTTATTAGTGTTAAAAATTTCTTTCATTTTAATATTTCAATAAATTCTCAAAAAATATTCTACCGTGGATTATAGATTTCATTATGCCATTCAGTCATTTTCTCAATAAAATACGGTTGGCAAATATTTCATTCGAGGTATAAAATGAAGATAAAATCAATTAGAGGAGAACGTTTTTTAGAAAATGTTCCTTAGCAGAGATAGCGGTGGTTAGCAGTATTTCACTTTTAATGAGATTTACCCCTACTGAGCTACAAATCGTCATATTATTATTTTCGAACAACGTGAGTCTTTAATAAACCTTGATCGTAGGAAAACTCACAGGCATTATGGTAACCACAGCCATTATTTGGGATAATTGGATAATCTATCTGAAAATGCAATAATATGCATTTAAAAAGGAAATTCTTTTATTCATTCGTAATAAATAATGTCGATTTGTTTTAAAGGACATGAAGCTCACATATGGAGTAAACTTTTTTTGTCTCGATCTGTTAATTATGCAACATATTAGGAATGTGGCCGATGCAAATAAGATTAGCCCACTACCAATAATAAGCCAACTATATAATTCTTCCATTTTTTTTGGCTCTGAAATAAATTATTATAAAATTATCTAACAAATAATGAAATTTTTATATTTATTTTTTCTGATTTTTATGGTTTGGTAATATTGGTGTCTGAAAAATATGGTTTGACGAGTCCTTTTAACAGTATTGTTTCGTGAATTAGCAAGGCTACTCAACTCGTCAAAACTTATTAGATCAAAACTTATTTCATCAGCAGTCTCGACTCGCTGTCTCCGCTGAGCTTCTCTTTTTCGTCATAGAATCTCTTATTCTAGTAGACATTAGCGAGTCCGCAGAAGCGAATGCTAATCAAACCAACGCCACCTTTTCCAAGTGAAAATACAGTTAAAATCATCGTCTTCGCCTCACCAAATCATCATATATCGAATATTTTTTGAAATTCTCAAGTATATAAACAATTTATTGTCGCGCTAACCAAATTGAATTTTGCTTGTTTTTATTGTAGAAGGATCGAACGAAAGATTTTCCACAGAACCACGGAGTGCGTGCTAAATTTTGCCTTTAATATATAAGAATATAAATTTTAAATCGAATTTGTAGTAGCAGTTTGTCAACTGGCGCAATAAAAGGCCAATTATGAGAACATAATGAGAAAATAAACTTCTTCGAGAAGGGAGTTGATCTTAGCAGCTGATGGCGAGGCATCTGTATCGCTGGCTAACATTACATGAGCCATCACACTTCCTTCACTGCAAAGCAATTTTTGAATCCCATTTTAAATTTTGTTAAATTCATAAATAATATTGTGATTAAAGGCTACTTCGAAAAATGTACATCGCTTTCGGCTACTTCTTGTATAAAAAAAGTAACCTGAATTTAATAATCTGAGCGACCTTCAGGTGCGGCCATACTGGTGCTAATATCTTATTTATCTGTAATTTATATAATGACCGTATTATAATGAAAGATTTTCAGAAATGGGAATCAGAAATAAAGCAGATGCCTAAGAAGGAAACATGATTATATGAATCTATAGAAGTATGCGAAAATAATATTCCTTATCCAAATATCAATTTTTGATACGTCCACCTGCTTTATGAACCTTATTATTTTACTTCAGGACCATAAGCATTTTTCGTTGAATTTTTAAAACTCACAGCTCTTGTGACATCATTTGACAATGTCTGAAACTGTTCCGACGTTTTATCCAGTAATGCTTCGTCCCATAAACGATTTAAAATTTTCACTGTCACATTATATGTTGCCTAAGAACAGTTGAAGAGTTTGCATTTTTAGGTTCATTTTGTTAATTTTGTTACCACCTACTTGATTCAGTGCTAAAATAAATAAATAAAATTTAAATATAATTTCAGTCTAACTTAATACTTTTGAAAATGAAGGTGATTCTTCAAATGCTTTTGTAATCGAAGTATTTCCTAAAACTTTTTTGATTAGTATATTTGGTTTTGACGAGCAAAAACTGAGACAAATCCTTCGACTAGATGCCTTCGGTGTTTTGAAAAGTTTTCCTATCGTGTTTGTGCCTAAAAATTTATAAAAATTTGAATAAATAATATTTTAAATCCTAAATTATGCGGGAAATAATTGCATTTGTTTGACAGCTAGTATTTTTATTTATTCTTAAAACATTATTAGAGAATCACTATGTGGTTGAGTTATACGTTATCTCCGGTGAGAGGGGGCTGTGGAATCGAGTTCTTCTGATCTTCAACACTTGTCAATAAAGATGAAATCTAGGTGATTGGCAGAGATCTATCTGAAATGCCATCTTCAAAGGAGCAGTTCAAACCAGAAATGGTGCATGCTTTCAGAAGAGATAATTCGCACAGTGATCAACCAATTTTTTTCTCTTCTTTCAATCTTAAATTTCTTAAATTTCACTGTTCTAAAAAATCTTCAAGGGAAATAAATAACCTCTTTGAAGTTCTCCACCACTCGTTGGGTAAAGAAAATAGAGGCATTGATTCAATGATAAATTGTTTTCATCATCTGAGAATAAATTTCTCGAAAAATTAGCTTCAACAAATCCTTTACTATATATGGATCTGACATCGAAAAGATCTTGATTTGCATCGATTTTTAGTTTTTCGTAGCCTTCTGCGAATTGTTCACTAATTACTACAGACTCGTCCTAAAAAAATTTCATTTCCCATTTTCTAAATACAATATGTCGGTAAAAACAAATATTATTATGAGATTATTATATATATATATATATATATATATATATATTATATAATAATTATATAATTATATAAATATATAATTATTATATATAGCTTTCATTACTGAGAAATATGAAAAGCAACAAGATCTAATTCTGCATCTAAAGAGATCTATTGAAATACTTACAAAGGGCAACGAGGAATAATGATATCAATAATTTGAAAGCCTCGTCTTTGAACCTCCAAATATCTCAACTATTGCAAACTATTGCTGAATATTTCGAAAAAAAAAGAACCATGTCTAATTGGCATAAATGTTCCGGAAAAATCTACTGATGATGAGATTGCTACTGCCGATATGCTCTTAGCAGAGAACATTGTAGCAACCGCTGGGATCCAGACTACATTAAGGAAGTCCGTCGACATGGAAAAAAGGGGTCAGGCAGGCCATGAGTACTTAAGATTCGACTTGAAGATAAGTACATGGCTATGTCTGTATTGTGTAACAAGAACGTGCGCTCGATTGTTCTCCATGGAAGTTTTTTGAGGAAAGATCTAACGAAAAGAGAACTAGACAAATAGTTGCGTAAAGAATGTTATGTGCGAAATCAGAATCTCAATCTGAAAAAGTACGTTGTCAGAAATCTTCAAATAGTGGAACTAAGGCAGCCTCGCCAATGGTTTAGAAAGACGAACAATTTTTCGATTCCAATTTTTTCCCATCAATCTACTACAGCTTAGGACAATTTGCCAAGCAAGGTTAATAAAATAGGAAGTAATTTATCTTAATATATTTGATGCAAAAAGTATAAACTTAAAATATAAACTTTATGACTTACAACTCTTACTAATTGATAATCCAAATAGTATTTTTTGCATTAATGAAACATAGTTGGATGACTTTACTGATAATCGGGAAATAAACTTCGATGGCTTTCTAGTATCACGCAAGGACAGAACAATAAATAGTTTAAATTCATGCAGGATTTATCACGCTTATTCCTCATTATTATAAATTTGTACCTTTTGATGATTTTGTTTATTCCTCTTTTGAATCTCTAATAACTGAAATTTATCTTAATAATCGAAACATTTTCCTTTTAAATATATACCGCCCACCTATGGAAGTAAATTCACTAAATCACGGCAAGTAGATATGGATACAAATTCAAAAGCGCAATTACCATCAGCCATCTTCCCAATATGAATTACATCAAGCTATGTTAAAAGCATTGTATAAGCATTGTAAAGCATAACCAAGTGGCTGGCATCATCGAGAGGAATGTCTGCTTAGTACCTTAGACTCTTCCAAGACTAGATGGACTAAATGGAAAAATATAGAAAATCGTGAATAACAGGGAGAAGACCTGTGGCACTTCTCCATCCAGACAGGCAAACAAGTGCCTACCAATCAACATCGACATCGACAAAGACAAAGACCAAAAATCAGCACTGGTGATATAAATATAGATATAGATAGCAATAGCGAGTGGCAGGAAGTGTTAGGAATAAAAAATATGAGAAATTAAAGAAGTACCAAGGGATGGAAGAGAAGATGATGAAAGTGAAGGCTAAAGCAGCGATAATAGGAGCATTAAGAACTATATCCTTTAAACTAGAAAAGATCTGACGAAAAGAGAATTATTGCTAGATAAACAGCTGCGAAAAGAATGTTATACACGAAAACAAAGTCTCAATCAGAAAAAGTATGTCGTCAGAAATCTTCAAATAGTGGAACTCAGGCAGCCTCGCCAATGGATTGCACCGACGAGCAATTTTTTGATTCCAACATATTCTCATCAGTCTGCAGCAGCCTAGGACAAGTTATCAAGTAAGGTTAATAAAATAGGAGGTAATTTATCTTTATATACTTTTAACGCAAGAAATTTAAAATATAAACTTTATGACTTAAGTCTCTTACTAATTGATAACCCAAACAGTATTTTTTGTATCAGTGAAACGTAGTTGGATGACTCTAGTGATAATCGCGAACTAAACTTTGACGGCTTTATAGTATCACGCAAGGATAGAACAATAAATAGTTTAAATACTCGTGGAGGTGGGCTTATCACCTTATTCCTGATTATTAAATTTGTATCTTTTGATAATTTTCTTTATTCCTCTTTTGAATCTCTAATAACTAAAATAACTAAAATTTATCTTAATAATTGAAATTCCTTTTAAATATATACCGCCCACCGGCTATGGAATTAAATTCACTAGGGATCTTTACAGCCTGTTATTTAGATTAAAAATATTTGATGCCGATTATGTAATTGTTGACGATCTTAATATGCCAAATATAGATTGGGAAAATAATTGTTTGAAAAATAATAGCAAATTTGAAGAGGACTTTCTAAACCTTTGTACCCATATAGGTCTAACATGTTAAGATTGCCACTAGGCATAACACTATTTAGATGTTGTTTTAACTGCCTCTATTTCTACTTCTTTTGATGATAGCATTAGAGTCTTGGAACCTTTTTGTAATAGTGATCACAGTATCATTCATGCTTCATTAAAATTAAACCGTTATGTACCTCCCTCCCTCGAGATATTCTAGAAATTATCGTCACTGTGATTATGAATTTTTCAAGTCTATACTCGCAGAAATAAACTGGGATTTCTTATTCTATTTGATTCTCTCTATTGATGAAAAAGTTTACTTTCTTAATAGTATCATTTTATACCTTATAAAGCAATATATCCCTCTAAGAAAAAAAAGCATTAAGTCGATTCCCATTTTTTTAAAATCTCTTTTAAAAAATGTCAAGAAGCTTTATAATAAATGCAAATTAACCAAATTACCAAGTGACCTTTCTGCATATAGAGAATGTTTAAAAAGTTTCCTGGTGCAGTTCATAATTGCTTTTTAAATAAAATGGAGCAAATTTTAAATATTTATAGAAATTCTTTCTGGAAATACATCAAAAGAAAATTTTCAAATCCACGTAAGCAGTTAATTCTGCAACATAATGATAATGTGGTCACATCTGATATTGATATATTGATATTGATATCAATATTTAATCAATATTTTTCCAATGTATTTGTTGATGAGGATAATACTCATATTTCTTGCAAATCGAATTTGTTGCATTTCTCTCGATGAAGTTCAAACAACACTACTGGATGTTTATGATGCCTTAAATAGACTTTAGCCGTCCATTTCAGCTGGTGCCGATAATATTCCACAAATAATTTATAAAAAATGTGCAATTTCACTGATTTTTTCACTATTAAGGGGATATAAAATCTCCCACTATTTTTAATTTATAAAGACATTATAAAATCTGACCTTAATTTAGAAATTTAGAAATTGTCTCATATAATTCTCATTATAAAGAAAGAAAACACCTATGACCCTTCTAATTATAGACCTATTAGCCTGACATGCGTTGGTAGCAAGGTACTCGAAAAGTTGATTGCAACAAATTGATTACTTATCTTGATGCCAATAATTTTATGTCCTCTTTCATGGCTTTTGTACAAAAAAATCCACTTCTAATATTGGCAAATCTTTCTGATTGATCTGCTTCAATCGACAGTGGTAAAACAGTATCAGTTGTGTATCTAGATTTGGCTAAAGTTTTTGATGCTGTTTCCTATAGCAAATTATTGATCACTCTTAATAGTTATGGCATAACAGGGACCCTTTATAACTGGGTATCAGATTACATAAAAGACCGTCACCAAACCGTACTCGTCAATAATACTCTTTCTAACACAAAACCTGTTAAATCTGGTGTTCCTCAAGGTAATTGCGCCATTGCTTTTTCTATTATATATAAATGATATCACCAATGTGGTACTAAATTCTACTACTTATCTTTATGCTAAAATTGTAAATTGTAATGATTGTAAAATTTATTATTTTTTTTATATTATTTATTATTTCATAGTAGACCAGATAGCCTATCTCCACTGCAGCAGGACCTCAACAGAATAGCCAACTGGCTATATGATGGGCAAATTACTCTTTTCTTTCAAAAATGTGGCGTTCTATATATTAATTCTAAAGGTTTCGATTTTCTTGATCTTTTTATTAATGGTAATATAATTAGTAAAGTCTCACAAATTTCCGATCTTGGATAAATCATAGATGAAAATCTCGATTCCGACTTTTACTGCAGAATCATGGTAAAGAAATTCTCAAAGGTACTAAATTTTATTTTTCGTTCGTTTAAGAACAAAACTGAAGATTTCCTTATTAAAATGTACAAAGCGTTCGTTCAGCCATTTCTTGACTACATGTTACTACATGTTACTCCCCGAGATATCGTAAATCAAGTAAAATAATTGAAGAATTTCAAAAATATACGGCGCCTCTCTCCTAATTGTTATTTTAATTATAAAAGAAAACTTCTACAATATAACCTGGATTCTCTGTCAGTTCGTCTTATTAAACAAGATTTAATTTATACTTATAAGATTTTTTTTGGTTATGTTAAACTAGATTGATCAAAATACTATAATTTTACGTTAAATTTAAATCCAACAAGAACTAATGGGCTAAAATTACTAAAACCTATGTGTAAAACTAAACTAAGGACTCATGATTTCTTTATTCGTAATTAATTACTGGAGTAAACTATCGAACGATATTGCTTATGCGTCATCCCTAGCTATCTCAAAAATTCACATCAGGAAGGGTGAAATCTCGAATTTTACCATTCGATTATAGTTATTTCGAATTGTACTGTATTAAATTATTTTGCAATATCCTCTTTATTCCATCTTTAAATTGTTTATTTTATATTAATATTATTTTTTTTGTTTTTTGTCATTAATTCTTATTATTTGTTATTTTAACTGTTGTTAACTGTTGTTATTAATACAAGCACATGGTGTTTGCGCCCTGCTTGGCTGGTTTTCAATAAATAAATAAATATATAATAACATGAAAACAACCAACCTCAAGCACAGAGATTATTACAAAATTAGATTTAATTATAGTTCCATCTAACGAGAATCCAATACCAGTCCAACGACTTGCGTTCATCAATACTTTCAGATTAAATGAGATCCTTCCTCCGTTCGCTATCCAATGGACCGTATACGAGCATTCATCAACAATTTCGCAGCCAGAAGGATATGAAAATGATCCTGAACAATCAAAGTCGTGGCTGTTCTCTGACTTTAATCCGTTGTCTGAAATTCAAATTTTTTCGAAATGTAGTCCTTCCATGCAGATTTTGAAATAAAATCTCGTAACGAAGCAGTAGATTTTTGGCTTGCTTATATATGCTTATATATGCTTGAGATATGTACATATCTACCAAGTAGGTGGGCATTATCTACAGGAATATCTGCTAAGTATATGGTTTCCCAAGACTATAAGCTCAGAAAAAAATCGAAAATAATAAGACGAAGATCTTGTGGGGATTTCTTCCTCTAAACAGGCAAACAAATACTGGCTGATCAACCAAATATCGCATTAACAGACAAGAACCAGAAATTAATAGATATTGCAATATCATATGGTAGGGATGTTGGAAAGAAGGAAATATGAGAATTTAGAGAAATTTTAGAGGTTGAAAGAGGAACTAGAGAAGATGTGGAGAGTGAAGTCCACAGTCCTAATGATAATTGGGGGTAGGAGTAATTTTTAAACTAGAAAAGTAACTTCAAGAGATCAGTGGATTCCAAGAAACTTCAAGAGACAGCAGAAGACCTGAGGCTGAAGATAATCCTTATCACCCAGTGAGAAGGGAGAAAGAGATTTTTTTAATATACATGACTATTTATCACAGCTTACCGAATAAATTAATTGTAAAAACTCCTCGATTATTTATACCATGATAATTGATAACATCACTTTGAAAAAATAATTTATCCGACGAATTATTGTCCTAAAAAAATCTATTTTCGTATTTGAAAAATAAAATTGTTTGCATGAAATAGAAAGTTAGCTGAGCTAAGACAGCTGGAGGTAAGATAGAGTTGACAATTCAGATATTGTTTTTCCCGATAACAGTGAACCTGAATTATCAAAAAATCCAAGTTTTGGTAATCCATATATACTTTCGTCACAATGATCCCCCAGCAAAAATTTCTCAAAATACTAACAGCTAATGGAGCAAGGATAACTAATGAATGCTAACCACTTATTTACTTTCTTAAATCTAGATAGTCTGAAAGACAAGTGAACCTTAAGCGATTCGTCTATTCGAGATATATAATTTGATTTATGAGATCCTTTCGCCCAAATAAAAGTTAAAGTTCCATTTGAAATTGGTTGATCACTTATTTCATCAGCTAAAAATTGCGAAAATAAATAAATACATACACGCACGAAATATGTTCATACATTTATTTGAGTCAAAAAATTAAAGATAAATAATTAATGCTTTAAATCTCAAATTATGAAAGAAATGATTCTATCTGATAGTCGCCATATTTTATTTTATTTATTCGTATATTAATTACTGCAGCTGAATTATGTATGTTGCTTCAGATAAGATGGAATACTATGGATTCGACTTTCGTTCTTCAGCAGTAATATCATTAAAAATCATTAAAAATTAAATTTAAATGGTTAAAAGTGACTTATCTAAAATCCCAAATCTCCAAATGGCCACTATCCTCAGCCTACTACTAAATAATGGTCAGAAGAATAGAAATGGTGTTTGGTACCAGAAGAGATCATTTGTACAATTAATTTCTTTCTGCTTTAGATGAATAGTAGTAAACTCTAATTGAAAATCATTTTTATTTTTAATAACGTGAATTATTACAAATGAGATATTTCCTGAAGACAATAGTTGTATATTCCTCGTCTTCATATGCCGCAGCTGAAGTTAAGGAATCTTGACCGTCATAAAACGAATCAAGTCGAGGTATTGAATTACTCATAGTATAATAGTCTTTTATTCGAGTTAAACCGTTAACCACTGACCCAATAACCATATCGGTACAATCCATTGCATTGCCTGGAGCTCAATAATATCAAGTTTAAAATCTCATCGGTTTTCATCTTCTTAAAAAATTGAAGCTGAAACTGCAAATATTTGCATTTAGAAAACTATAGCCTAAAATGTTTATCAAAATGGAAAGCGTCCTTCAAAGCAATTTTATGTTCTTTTAGTTTTATTTTTCTATTACGATAAAAACGATTAGTGCTGATTCTCCATTTTTCGTCAGATTCAATTCACTAGTTTTTTGTGAGAAATTTTTACCAGAAAACCACTCGAAAATAGAAGTGCAGGTGAATTGCCAGCACCTGAATTTATTGGAGATATTGTCGACGAACGGCGAAAGCAAAAACGGCCGGCCTTCCAGTCTTCTTGTTTGAATCTTTGATTCCAATTGTTGAGTTGAATCACCGAATTCTAGTTTGAATACTATTTTTGAATTGTTAAATTTGCTTCTAATTTGCGATTTCACAGTAGCTTTTACTTTTACCGTTCGGCATTTGCACCCAATGCGATAATCGAAGTAATGACCATTCCCGGCTACCCTTTCTTTTTTTCTAACTTTTTTTATTTGTTTTTTATAATTGTACTTAATTTATTCTAGAACTTTGGATAAAAAACCTCGACAAACCTTTATTTACATCCTTTGGTACAAAATTAATTTCATTCATAGACGGCTTTGGTGATGATTCCATTACAGAATTTACATTTACTTCAAATTCATTATCAGTCACGAATTGAGATTGATACATTAAACTGTTATCAATCGAATTTGATGAATCGGTCGCTTCACGTGTTGTAGCTTGTAAGTCTATAATTTCAATATAAAAAGCTAAATTTTACAATGATAATTACTATTTTTTCCCTTAGACTTAGTAGTAGAGAGGGAAATAAATTCACAATTAAATATAATATTCTCAATTTTAATCGATTTAATTAGAGATTCGTCAGCACAAATCGGATTTTTTAGTGATAGATTTATCTTTATTGGAGCCGAACTCTTAACTTTCAAAACAACAGTCTGAACAAAACCACTTGGTCCGACTAACTGTATTATTATGAGTCCTTGTGAGTATACATTAGTAATATTTCTTTGTATATGACCAGATTTTTAAAAGAAACCAGAAATATTTGCATCGCCTTGAGCTTCAACAAATGGGTCTATTTGCAGCTCAAATGGATCTTGAACTTGCCGCCTTGATCTTATAGCTGGTGATGCATCTTCAGAAGCAATTGAAACGCCATTCTATAATTGAAGTCTGAATATAACCTAGTATTCGAACTATGAAGTGAACTGATAAATGTATTATCGACAAAATATTAGAATCTTTCATACTTGGTCACAAATACAAATTTTGGTTCGAGACACTCGTGGTTGATACAAGTCGTGGTAACCAATTGGTGTTTTCGGATTCTGAAAGTCAGGACTTTTCCTGGCAAGAACACGACCGCCGCCAATTGGAAAAAGGAAATAATAACATTTGTTAAGTGGAAAATCAGTTAACGTATCCGCGGGTAATACTTTTCGGCGAAATGATATTGTCTGAAATAAATACGTTCATAGATGAAAGTTTAAATGTATTATATGTTAAGGATTCAGTCAAAATTTTATACGTATAATAAAATAAAAATTAATTACCTGAATGTCGTCCTCAGCTTTACCACTGATTTCGTAAATATCCTGTCTGTCAGCCGGATCAATAGCTGGAAGTTGACGTCCATAGGCGAAGCGATCAGTAACATAGGCTTTTCCTTCATAAACCCATCCAGTATATATATCCGAATTAGCCATTGAACCGTCACGAGAAAAGCCGATCCCGGTCCATCGACCAAGTTCCTTTGACGAGATTTCAAAATGTACATCTTTTCTTGCCATGCTATATTCCCATTTAGCAACATAATCACAAGCGGATCCTTCACATCCTGTAGGGTAACGGAATTCCGTCTCACAAGAACTTGTTGCTGAAATTCAATTGTTTCATGCTCAACTTTTAACTTGCTACTTTTAGAAAAATACTTTAAAAATTTAGAACTCAGTAAAACTGTGCGATAATGTAATTAATTTAATTAATTAATTTTAATTAATTTTTACTTTTACAAAATATTTTGCAAAAATATTTAAAATTGCAAAAAATTCACGCTGAAGTGTCTGAGGCTGAGTACAGCTTTTGATGCAAACTTTTCGTTCAGAGACTTGAGGTGGTGAGATATGTTTCATTAACTGACCATTCTAAAACAAATTCTTTAAAATTTTTAAAATTCACGTATTACTCTAGAAATACGATTTTAAAAAGTTCTAGCCTTATAACTCGCTTAGAGGCGAATGATTGGAGAATCAATGCCTCTGACAAGAGTAAAATTCTGGTTGTGTTGGTGATACGTTTAAATTTTTGTTGCCAAATGACTTCCTAGCAAGAATTTCTCATCATGCTAACAATTAGAGGGAACTTAATCGGATAATATGATAATTAATGAGAGAAAGATTGAAAAAATAAGATTATTGATTCAATACTATATTTTAAATCATAATATTTATAAGCCATACTGCATCCAGACGACCGCCAGATACAGGAAATAGAAATTTATAACAATTTGTGTCAGAAAAACGATGGTCAGCCTTTTTATCACCAGTATCACGTTTGCGCATAAATTGTCCTCGAAGCATCCCATTTACATGTGTACCAACAACAGTCGGAGTGTAAATATTTTGTTCAGAATCTTCTCTCAGAACACCATTCTGTGTGCTGTACATGTCATGCAGTGTTAATTCTCCATTTCTACTTTTTATAATTATCATATCTGCTTCTACCTAAAAATTTTTAGCAAAATATTTCCATTTGTTATTGAAGGCCATTATTCTATTGTAGAACCAAGATCCTTTAAAAAAGTAGCATTTTAATTTATTAAATTTTTTTAATTCGATTTAATTTATCGGGTTGAAAAAAATTTTTATCTTTTTCTATTTTTAAGCATAAGATAAATGCATATTTTTATTTGCTTTAAGGCATGCATTGCGATTTCTCCATCCATATGTTCCTCCCACTCTGTTTTCTGATGATCTTAATTTCGTAAAGAAAAAACTGAAACAAAAAAATTACCATAGTTCCTGTGGGTGAAAAACCAACACCAGTCCACCAATTCGATGGTGCACGAGTTTCAACTGAAAACTCTATTTCATCAGTATCATCGATATAATTCCAAGAAATACGATAATCACAGTCACGACATCCAGTCGGCCAGCGCCAGTCACCATAACATACATCTCCTACTACTCCTAAAATCTTACTTTTTCATAATTAATTGATTTATTTAACACCGTAGATCATATAGAATAGAATTGCGCCATTACTAATTCCAGTAAACTATTGTTAAAGAAGAATGTGGAAAAGAAAATGAAAAAAACATGCTACCCGGTCGACATTTACGCAACCTAATTTAAGTGTTGGAAAATTTTTTAATGGTAATCCTGAGATCTCTCAATTTTGTAATACCTTTTGTAATACAAAATATTCAAAGCCATCTGAAAAAGTTATACCAGTTTTGTGATCGATGGATTTAGAAGCTTGTACAGTCGGAAAAACAGGAACAGCATTGCTTGAAAATACTTGATTTATAGCTGTAACAGATTTTGTAGCCAGTATATGCACTATGGTTCTCTCTGTACTGTTACTAATATTTGTGATTAATGGTTCGTCGAATAGCGTTGCTGCAGTTGGTACCATCGGCGCTATTAAAGCTTCCTCCAGTGAGACTGCTGATCGCGTGACGCTTAATATTTTGATTGGTGTTGCTGTTTGCAAACCGCTCGCTGCAATTTATTGTTTTCATTTAAAATTTAATTTTAAATTTCAGTCGAAGTTTTTAATCTCACAAGATTATGAAATCAGTGAAAATGCCATGTTGCACTTCATATATATATTTTTAAAGAGCCCTCACCATTGCTGGTTAAACTCGCTCCACTGGCCTGTCGCATTAGGCAATATGCCAGGGAGTTCCTTGGCAATAGAAATATACAGTTGAGTCGCCAGCATCATGGATTTTTGCACAGGTTCACTCCTGTGGGGAATCGAATCTTAATATCGGCGCTCCCGATGGAGCAACAACCCACTGAGTCATTCTATATATATGTATATATATATATATATATTCGAGGAAATGGAGTATAAATTTGAAAAATAGGATACCGAATGTCAAAATGGTGTAAAATGAAAGTAAATAGATTATTTCCCCATTCTCCAAACGTTCACTGAAATTCCTAAAACTACTATTTGCGAAAAACTTTACCTTCAAATGGACAATCGCCCCAGTAAATGCATTTATCTTCATTTCTTGCATACCCTTCTAAACAGGTACATGAAGCGCTGGCGCACAGTTCACATTTGTCTCGAATAAAAACCTCAACAAATAGTATTTTGAGTTTTATTTCAAATGTGATCTTCCTTCTACTAAGTCAATTATTTTTAAAGTTCTCAAATGACAATTAATAAGGCACTAACAGAAATGCAATCTGGTTCACACGCCCGACCACATTCATTAATTGTTTCGTTGATGCCACAAGTAAGTTCTTCGACAGCGATGGCGGGATTGGTAATTACATCTGCCTTAACTGTTGCCTCTTGTTGTGCTGTGGAAACTCTATTGAAAGTCGTTATTGATGTTGGTTCTCCTGTCATCCAGTGTTCTTCCAAATCTTAACCATAAAGATAAAATTTTCCTGCGTTATTGTGCATGTCGATAAATTGTTCTCGCAAAGATTGAAATCAAACTTGGACAATCGCCCCAAAATATGCAAGTTCCATTGTGTCGCACGTAATTATCTGCGCAAGTACAAGCAGGCTGATCACAGAATGCTGGACAAGGTGATGTATCATACATATTCTCACATGTTGGCTCGCAGGCTATACCGCATTTAGCCCACGTAGAATTAACAAAGCATTCCGTTTGAGCCTTAATTACAGCAGAGTACATTTAGTTCATTTTTTAGCATATTACCTTATGTTACTTATCATTTTTTTGGAATTATTTTCTAGCAGTATCAATTAAAAAGATGCACTACTTCATCAGAACAAAAGTGGAAGGGAACACAAGTGTCGTTATCAGTAGATAGTCTCACGAAACCCTCCTTGCAAATGCATTTAGGTGCACCACAGGAATGTGGACAATTCGGAATTGTTTCAGGGAATTTTGTCCAATCACAAGATGCTTCACATTGTCGGTTGAATTCGGGGCAAACACTGAAGATTTCATTGGATACGCATTGTTGCTCAATCGGATTTTCTAAACTATTTCATCCGTCTGAATAAACCATTTTAGGTAATTTTGAATGGTAAATAAGAAAATATGAATTGTTTAAATAGAAATAATGTGCGATCAGATAAAATTCAATAGTTTCATGATTTTTTTCAAATTCTTCATCTAATGAATTTAATTATACTGCGAAAAAAACTGATAAATCGTTAAAAATATACCTATTGCTGTGGATGAGAATCGCAAAGCATTATCGATTTGATTAGATTCTTCGGGTTGGTGAAAAGGTGAACATGTAGCACCTTGAGGTTTCCATCCAATTCCGAGCCATGAGTGGCTTTTAAATTTAAGTACCATTTCGATTTCATTCTGAAAGAAATAATTTTTCCCCTGCAGATAAAAGATGAATAAAATATCACGTTATTAACTGAATCATCCTAAACTGAATAAAAGACTTAGAGGTATATGATATAAGTGCTGGGAAGGAGAATCAATTTTGTTATTTATGGGTGTATGATGCTAATAGAACCAGCTTAACCTGCAATGGTACCAAAAGAAGAATATTTTTTTTGTTCTGTCATAGTTTAGATATTAACCGAAGTATAAAGATATGATTATGGCAATTTTAATAGTTCTTAACCATGTAGATAATTTAAAAATCATTCGAGAAATTTGTATTGTAATTATAATTCAGATCAAATACATCTTTAATATAAGTGACCTAAATGAATTGTATGTGTGAAAACGATTTGTATAAAAATTTTTTGTAATATTGTCAAAATGAATTTTAATCAAAAATAAAATAATCAAATGAATGACCAAGTTTCAGACATTCTTAAAAATAGGTTCGATGAGGAACTGGAAATTAAAAAATTAAATTAATTAATCAAATTAAATTAATTTTCCAATTTTGTTTATAAAATTCTAATCGCTTAAACCGAATTTTATCAACAAAAAGCCACTTTTATAGATAGGAAAATGTACTTATTAAACTATATAAAATTAATAGTGATATTAAATATTTTAAAATAATTATGCCTCAATGATTCTCCAGAAAATTTTATCGCCATCATCATTTAATTCCTTTTGATAATATAAATTAGGATTGAAATCCGATTCTCTAGTGAATGTTTTTGTCTCTGGAATAGTCTGATAATTAAAGAATCAAAAATTGGAAAACTGAATAATTGAAAATTCATTAATGTGTGATAAAATACCAAACAATCGATCTACTTATCAACTACTATATAAGCAGTACTTTTTTGGTATTAATATAAATTGAAAGCTTAATTTGACAAAAAATTTAAAAATAGATTGTTCAGCAATTTATAACGAAATTTATAACCCATAATGTATGAAATAATTAAATTCCCATCGCTTTCCTATTTCAAATATCAATTTGACCAATTAAAAATTATATTAAATTAACCATGTTCACAACGTTCACCATAATAACCATTTACACAATAACATTGCCTTCGAGGATAAGCGAAATTGCTAAATGATACACATTGACCATAACGACCGCAATCTTCATTTTCCCAGCATTCATCTATTTTTATTTTCATTATTTTTCACCCAAATTTTATCACCCAAATTTTCATGGCAAAATATAGTGAAATTTAATTTTTCGATACTGCGATGCATGGATTAATTATTAGCTAACCATATTCACATCACTCGCTGCTCGCTGCAATCTGTTGAGACAAATGGAAAATCTGAAATTTAACGAAAAATTTGATATATTATTGAAAATAATAATTTAACTATTCACCGCTAATCTGGCAATTTTCTCCAGAAAAAAGTCGATTGCAATCGCACTTTGAGTTAACACGCGTTCCATGTCCAAGACAGGTGTCACCATTCGGAATCTCTATAATTTATTCCTTGAGAAATGAATACTTTTTTTTGTGCATTAACAAACTGAAGGCTTTCCCTTTGTTTTTTACGCGTGATTAATATTATTATTATAAACTTATGGTTCATTTAGCCCATTCTTTTCATAAATATAGCGAAGAACACGCTATGGCTTCAGAAAACCGAGGCTGCGTATTGAAAATAAAGATGGATATCGAAGAAGATATAATTTCTCCTGTTTATTCTCAAATTTGCACTGAAATAAGAAATTAAATGGAGAATAAAGATATAAAAAATGAATAACCGTAAACAATATTTACGTTAGCGCACGAATATGATAAACTACCATATTTAGTTTGCTGTGTAAGTCGAATTGAACAATTCATACACTCAATTCCTTCAGGTAATTTCACTGTTTCCCACATTTTTCTGAAGCAGATTTGGCCTTACTATTTAAAAGTTTTCGAATCGAAATTTTTAATTGAAATTCTTTGATTTCTCCAAGAAATGAAATCAATAGAATGGTTAGTGGCTAATTATGCATGTAAAAGCAATCCAGATGCATAAAAAAGAAATTAGGCCTCTGTTACCCAAAATTCATCCTTTGAAGTTAGGATTAAGTGGATAAGTGTCCAAAATTTTTCAGTTTTAGTGATATTAATATCATTATAAACTTTTGGTTCATTTGATTGCTGCATAACTCGCAAAAATGGCAGCTTACAGGCCGAAAAGACGATTAGGAAGGATATGCATGCAACTTTGCTCCAAAATTCATTATTGTTATATTCAATTAATATCCCTACCACTTTACATCTCTCCTCATTTCTTCTCTTTCCAAATAGTGCTAAGCTCTTTCCACACTATCCAAGCAATTGTTCTTCACTAGCCCCCGCCGAGGATAGAATGGCTCAGTAGGGATAGAATGATTGTCGCTCAATTGGGAGCGTCGATGCTGAGGTTTGATTCCCCGCAGGAGTAAACCTGTACAAAAATGCGGGTGATGCTGGTGACTCACCTGTATTTCTGTCCAAGGGACTCCCTGGCTTATTGTCCAATGCGACAGACCAGTGCAGCGAGTCTAACCAGTAATGACTCTTTAAAAAAAAAGTCCTTAACCATATCTCCTCTCGTTCGGATCACTCAATTCAGTATGATACTGCCATTTTTCCCACTAAAATTTAAGTCAGTGTGGATGGATGATATTGGTGGACTTAGAGAAGATTCAAGCAATAAATGTAGCATGCTTTGGAAACACTTAATGAAATTTAGCGGGTCTTCCTTAAAATATAGCAAATTTGAGGATATCAGAAGGCATAACCAAGGATTCATGCATTTACGCGCATGCACACGCATTTGAGGATATCATTGTATTTCTTTTAAAGCTTGCCAAAACTCATCGCAAAAACTCCCTCCTTTCTACCGTTCCGGCTTTCAGGAAAAACATCCTCTTTTAAATGTCTTTTTTTTATTAACCGTCACCAATAACACCCTCTAGAATATGCATATTACTTTCAAACCTCTCGAACCCAGCCATAATTGTCTCGTTAGTCCCTTGGACCTGAATGCTTTATTGGCACCCGTCGAGATCTTTCCCTTAATATCATACCAAATTTCCCAATCTTAACGATATTGTATTTAAAATTTCTTCATATTAACCACTTGAATTTCCTCAGAATCTGTTATAAAAAATCTTCTTAATTCTCATTAAATGCTTTATATTATTTTATTGAAATCAGTGATCTTTGAATTATCACACTGTACTTTTAATTTGTCAGATCTATGGTACTTTTGTATAGTTCACTTTTTGTTACAATCAATACTCCATAAAAAAACGGTCAAAAATCTCGGTATTGAATGGCTTTGATATCATGTGTACTTTAAGCAATGCTGAAATAAATTAAAGCTGAAGTTCGAAAGAGTTGAGAATATACTCTAAGGCCTAATATATCATAAGGCTCTTGATGCTTTCAAGGCAATTACGAGATGTTGATGGACGCGTTAGGTTCACGGATAATTTGAAGACAAACGTAATCGATGGTTGCTCACGTATATTTTAGAATATAACGCACATTCTCAGAAAATGGAAAAATGTGTGATAAAATCTTTACTTATCGCTGCTGGTGAATTTATCGCGTAAAGAAAGTAAAGCAATCATTTCATCTTGATTATTCAGTAGTTCCACTTTATATCCACTCTATAAAAAATTTTTTCAATTAACCAATCAATTTTATAATATTTGTTAAAATATTTGCTCTAAAAGATGATTATTATCCACCATAATTATTAAATATCTGCGTAATTTTCCAAAATAATACCTATGTGTAAATATTGAAAAATTCTGGAGCCTCGATAAATCTAAACCTCAAAGCCTCTCGGCAATCTCCAAATCCCACTTTACCCTTCAGTAAAGTGCATTATATTACCTCTTTATACTCCTCTGAGCCTTAAAACATCCTATAACCTTCGAAACTTTTTATATCTTATAAATACAATGCCTTCGCAGTTAACCCATGTGGTCTTTTTTTCACTAAAAAATTTCTTAAAATCATTTAAATACATTTTTCTACGGATACGAAAAATACCAGAGCTATGGTTCTTTTCATGGTATCATAGCTTTAAGACATCGGGCTTCTCATTACTTTTTACCTACCCATGTGCTTTTGTTATAATTATCTATAATTACCTGCTATATTTATTTTTTCTGTCAGTCGTTGCTACTATGTGCATTTTTTTCATCAGTTTTGTCGCTCTGCTAGCAGAATAAAAGTGCTTTTTCACCGATTTCTCTCTTTCTCTTTCAAGTAAAAACTTACATAATGTGGAGAAAAATGGATCCACGAAATATTTACTTGTTGGCCAGTTTGAAACCAAGTAGAAGGGCCTAAAAGTATACATTTAAATGAAAAATTATTTGCAATTTGCTAAGAAAATTTTTCGCAGAATTTTATTGCCAGTGTTTATCTTTATTTCAGTTTTGATTATTACAGTTCTTGAAACTTTTTTAATTTTGCCGTCCATATGTCAAAATTCAAACTGTATTGAACAAATGATTTGGATTTATTATGAATTCGAATTAAAAATGTGATGTGATGGATGCAGAATGACCCTATGGAAAGCTATTTGTATGACTAAAGATTCATATTCTATGCCTATTGCGTAATGTCTGCAAAGCAGTGTCTATTTGCTTTAGAAACAAATTGAACAGAATTATCCACGATATTATTTGGCACAAATACATCTTCAATCCACTGTGATCAGTCAAAATAGTAATAGTTTTTTTAATTTCCTATTCTTCTTTTTTCGCATTGTATTAATATTTATTATATGTGTTATTAAAAGGATAACATAATGCATGGCTATTCTTTTGCTTGATCCTCTTTAAATAAATATTATTTGGGAGCACAAATGATGGACATCATTAGCAAAAGTGATGGGAAGTTATGTGATTCGCAGTATTTTAATTAATCCTTTTTATCATTAAACTATTTCGATGTTTTATATTGCACTGATTTTCATTAATAATTGATTTATTGTAATCAAAAGAAGTTGTAATGGAAGAAAAAATGATAAATGAATGCTATTTTTAAGAATTGGCCACAGAGTTATAAAAAATTTCAGTGATGATATTAGTTTTCGATATTAGTGACTGAAGGAAAATTGATGTGAATGGCCTTTTGATAAACGTCAAGGTCGGTATTTCTTTTTCGGAATTTTGATTCATAGTCAATTCTTTTTGCTACCACACAAATATTTCACACAAAGTTAATTTATTCCTTAAAGTTCCACATTTAAAATTAATTGTTTTATCAATTGATTGAAATATGTTCTAAAACAAGAAATAATATAAGATTTTATGGAATTTTTATTTTCTAAAAAATTATGAAAGGAAAGAAAAGAAATGTATTATTAATATACAAGAGTTTTGGAAATGATTTCATTAATTTTTTTAATTTTTTTGACAATAAGTGTATTTTACGAAAAAAATTAGTCAAGTGGTGTGCAGTTTTGAAACAATTCTAAATTTAATAAATCACCATAAATAAATTTTCGCAATAAGACAAAAAAAAGGTTTAGATAACTAAGCGAGAAATGGCGACGAAAGAGGGTCTGCAATAGGTTTACAATAGAACTTACAATAACACTAAGAATGAAAGCTTTGTAAATTGTCATCTTTTTTATGATTTCCAGCCAGTATGAGTAAATTTAAACAATAAAGCCAGCAAAATAAGATTAAAAAAAAAATAAAAATGGAAATAAGAAATGGAAAGACTGGGTAATAGCAAAAGTATTATGATTAAGATCGACTTTAAATTTTGGCAGAACAATCTTGAAATGAGTGAAATAACTGGTAAGTAGAAATAAATAAAATGAAAATAGGAAAGGAAGAGAGGGCACTACTTAAATCAAGGAATGTAAAAGGAAAATAGAATGGTGGTTACTCGTCTCAAGCAACAGGATTCAGATTCTGCATCCGGTAATAATAATAAACTGTCCGGATTAAAAAATTCGGATCATGCAAGCGATCAGTATTTTTAAAGGCCAAGTGACCTACTGATAAAAATTTCTCGTTGCATTAAACCAGTGAAGCCTAACTGGAAATATAAAGTGTAGTTAACTTATAAATGTGATCGTGAAAGTATTGAATAGTAAAATTAAAAAGTGGGAATATTTGAAGGACGTCAAAACTGAGAAAAATTTTCAAAAAACTGACTATTTATTGACTTTTGAGTTGAACAAATTGAATTTTTCCAGTTGGCGTTGCCTTGAAAAGTTATAAAAGGATAAGCTGAAAGAGGATGTTGCAGATATATTTGTGCAATTATAATTGGTATTAATAGGTGTAGCAGGAGTGTCAAGTCCAATAACATCTGAAAATTGCAAATTTTGATAATTGGATTTAAAATTTAAATCCGATCCGATATTCAGAGACATTTAAATAATAAAATAAAAATAAAAATAAAAAAGGAAAAGGTAGATGATTGAGTTAATCAGTCCCATAATGGAGCAGTGACAAAATTTTTGATCAATAAAAAATTCTCAAAATTACAAAATTTTCCTTCAAAATTAAAAATGAGTATTATACATATTTTAGATGCCCGATTAAAAATAAATTAAAACCAATAGGAACGGAATTCAAAAAAGTTTAATGAAGTTTAATAAATTAAAGTTAGCACAGGTGAGTGATGTATTGCTTAGTTTATCATTTCAAGCTTCTATATTCTGATAAGAATAAACAAGTAATTTAAAAATTTAGGCTGCGCTAGTTGGTAACCTTTTATTTCCAAGACTCTCCAGTGAAAATATATCGTCCAAAAATCAACAGAGTTTAATCAAAAAAGGTAAATGCCAATCTTCTTTAGTTTATAGAAACAGAAGAAAGAAAATTAAATGTATGAAAATCTTTTGGGTAGAAATTACAAATATG